ATGTCTAATTACAGAAATTTAAAGATAAGGGAAAGCTTATTTAGAAAGGCAGTAGTATTCATTATGTTAAAGTTGGGAAAAGATATCATCCCATTTATTAGTTTAGATTATTCTAAAACACCTCATGAAATTTATCAGACAGTAAGATTAGGCTGGCTAAGGCTAGAACCACTTAGTGCCACTACAGGCAAGCACATGGGCTGTGCATGTCAAGCAAATGGCCTGGAGACCGACTACAATGACTTTAAAGAAATAAATTTTAGGCTCAGGAGTGAGACACAGAGAGTATGTTCTTGTGATATATACTAATACATAACGACAGTGGCTGAACTGGCCTCTTTTTCAAGTTGAAATCCCCCTTTTCCTATTTTTCCCCCTCTCCCCATTGTGAGTTGATCTTCTTTTTCATCAGTTCTTCCAATCAAATATTTAAAATTTTTCCAGAAATATGGACGTCTCTCAAATTTTAGAAACTGTAAATCAAATAGGAAGTCAAAAGTAAGAAGAGCCTTATAAGTAACTCAATCACATGCATAACATGTAAAAATCTTCGTTAATTTCCCAAAGTCCCAAACCATGTATCAAAAGTATAAAAAGTAGATGTGAAGACAGAGAATTAAGCTCATAAGAAGTTATGAATCAGTATACAAGCAAGATTGTGTTGTCTGCCAGCTTTGCAACAAATTCTAGTCAGACACCTAAAGGAAGAAAATGTGCTAGATTCTAACCTGAGAATGTCATTCTCGTGCAAGAAGTTCTTTCAGTCAAGACCAAAAATGCCACGTGACTTGGAAGAGATAAGACTTCTTGTTATGTCATTCAATAATGGGTTATATTCTCAAGGCCTTATATCTATATTGTAGCTCAAATCCTCATTTGCTTTTAAATTTCCACTACTTAGTCACGTAAGAGAAGTGGACACTCAACCATACTAGGCGGCAAAAGGGGAAAAGCATTTTAGGTAGAAAACCGAAGAATCAAACACATTTAGTGTTACTATGCATAGATGTATTGTTTCAGCTAATGGATTCCATTTGTGATTACTAATCTCAAATGGATAAAGGTACAGTATCTAGGTCAAAATCATAGCTTTAGAGTTCGATATTATACAGTTATATAATACAACGAGACTAAACAAAACAATAACTTACCCTGTATTTGGCTTTGACTTGACAATTTGTTCTGGTATGTGTTCATCATTCCAAGGAGAAATGCTCCTCTCTTTCTCAAGCTTGTTGATCTTCGTGACAATATTTTTCGGGTCATCGATTATCGCAGAAGCTTGAGGTTCAATTATCTGTATGACACAGCTACCTGATGTCCTTAATTTCTCAGCAAATTTGGACACCTCTGATGCTGATATATCTATGTAGATAAAATCGCGAATTGAACAATATATAATATGAGACTCATTCATATAAAATGCCTCAAAACAGCAAAATTAAGAATGTTATAACATTTCACTTACCAGGCAGAATAGATTTTTGGAGCTGTGCTTCATACTCAATCCCAATAATTGGTTTATTGTCTGTGAAGTGCTGCAAAACAAAAAACATGAAGACAAAATCCTTTTCCAGATCCTGTAGCTTTAGGTATAAATTGAGTAAATACACACCTGTGAATATTCATATCGCAAGCTGCTTGATTCCATTTGATCACGTTCCAGATACGCAGATTCTATCCTTGACATCAGTAGAGCTCGAACAACAGATATTTCACGTTCTGAAAACCCATGAAGTCTTACTCTTGCAACCTGCAATAGAATGCATCACAAAAAGTACTATGAGGAGAAAGTGAAAAAAAAAAAAAAAGGAAATAAGAAAATCAGAATGTGGAAGGAAAAAAATGGCACACCTCAATAAGCATTGACTCTAGGGCATCTAAAGTCCCCTTTTCTTTACAAGATGAAGTCATTATATAAGCCTTCGATTGGCGAACAAGAGCATATGCACCAATAGAACATGAGAAATAGGGTGGATCTTTTCTGTGAGAAATTTTAAAGAACCTCCGATTCAGAGCAATTCGGAACATAGATTTCACAAGCATCTCCCTATAGTCTTTCACTGTCTTTATTTCATCCACTTGCATCTTATAGCTAATCATCACTGCAGACTTTTCCAAACAAATGTTCACATGAACGGATGCATATTTTCCTGTCTGGTTAATGGATGTTATGCACAAACAAGTTCAAGAATTAAGACTTTACTAACCCCAGAAGCTTCAGGTTCCACAAAATATGAAAAGCGTGGATCCTCATGAGAAGGAACTGGAAAGTGCGTTATGGGTGGAGGGTCCAATGCTGAATATTTATGCCCAAAATGGGTCCTTATCAACTCAATGACACTCTAGATAGATAGAAAGGGAGGGAGAGAAAGAGAAAGAGAGAAATTGTGAAGAAAATTCATTAATTTAACATACTGGTAATTCCAGTAGAAGAATTTGCAGATTAACCAAGACCAACCTTTGTATCAGAAAAATCTCCAACAGCTATTACTGCCATATTGCATAGATGATACCACTTTTGGTAAAATTGCTTCAAAGTTTGCGAAGGAACTGTTTTTATCACATTTTCCAATCCAATTGGTAAACGCTCAGCATACTGCAGTCAACCAAGGTTGTAAAGGTAATATAAAATTCATTAACTAAGTCATGAGACAAATCAAAAGTATTAATGAAATCATTTGCTCCAAATCAGGCTTTAGCCTCTAATTTCAATCATAAGTGAGAAGAAAATTTTCAATAAAGATCATGAATGACACATGGAGCAGTGCCTTACAAATGCATTAATGAATAACTAATCAATAGGTGTATTAAGCAAAATATTGTATTAGATTCAATAGCTTTACCTTTGACCCTTCCATCATCAATGTCCAATATGCATCAAATATCCTTCCACTAGCATTTCGATTATCTCTGTACTCTTCCATAACTGCTCCTCTTTCTTTCTCCAAATCATCTTTTGAAAGTCGAATCTGCATATCAAAAATATATAAACTAAAAGAAGAAAGGCATAATGAAAGTTACCAAATTAATATCAATTAGCTAATACCTCTGAGCTAAACTCTGACAGGACTTGAATAGCCTCAGATAACAGCTCAGACTTGTCAATAGGGACAAACAACTTATACACAGTCTCATCAAAAGATGTTGATGCATTCTGACAAGGACCAAATTCTGCTCCTATACTTTCGAGGAATTTAACAATATTGTGATTTGTGTATTTCTTTGTGGCAGAGAAGGCAAGATGCTCAACTATGTGAGCAACTCCGCGCTCATCCTCCTCCTCCAAAACTGAGCTGTCATGAACCCGATAAGTCGGCCTTTTAGAGTTCTATATTAAAATGTACACTCATGATTCAAGCACAAACGCACAATTTCTTATAAATGGACTAAAAACAGGCATAAAGGAAGAATGTGATAGAGAAATTTTAGAGACTTGATCAATCAAATGCTAAGCTAAAAAATAATTAACTGGATCAAACCTAGGGAGCTCCTTTACGCTAGTAACATATTACTCATAAGTGCAGCATAAATAAATCATAATCTGCATCTAATGCAAAAGGCTATAATCTATTTCAGTTAATTCATTTCAATTTTAGAGTTGGGAAGAATGGGATTTTGTGGGCAAGTAGCAGGTGCTTGACTCCCTTTTCAACCATATATCAGTTGCAGCATATACAACAAGAACTACAAGAACCCTTGAACTACACTCAAATTTAAAAGAACCATACTTCTCCCAAAACATCAAAAATAGCATGCTCTTAAATCACATAAACATAAATCAAAGAAGAAAAAACAACAAAAACCCAAGAGGGAACTAACCCGACTTTGACAGCAAGAGCCAGAGAAGCTCTTTTTTTGGGTTTTGGATTACATTTAACATAGTAAACAAGGCCATTTTCGAGCCTCCCATAGTCCACCCCAAAGGGCAGCTGATCAAACTCTTTATCCATGTCCAAGGTCACCATCTCCAGAGACCTGAAACTTTGGTTCCTTGAGATTTGTGAGTTGTCTGGTGAAAGCAAAGGCATCTTTGGAGTTGGTAGAAACAAGTGGGAAAGATGTAACAGTCATGGTTTCGTTTGATATAAAAAAGATTTGGGGTTTGGGTTTGGGTTTGGGGTTGGGGACGTCTTGTTAAAGTCAATTGCAAAACTTTTTATTGTATGTACTTTGTCCAAAGCATCGCGTGGAATCCGCGTGAAAATGCGTGGATTGATGGCCCCCGCCTTTGCATGATTACCTTTATTTCTTTCTTTTTCCGACCTTGTCCTTGCGGCCCTGCATGAAAATTCCTGCCCTTCCATTTTCTATCATTCAACCTTGTCTGTCTCGTCACTGCTATGTTTATGTCTGTTTCTGATTGGTTTTTAGCGGACAAAGATGTTAGGAAAGCTGTCAGCTGATAACTACAGTGTTAAAAAAAATGACCTAACCATGTAAAATTTTCAGTAACTTTTGTTGCAAGAAACATTTTATAATCTGAATGAAGAAAAGTAAACTGAATTAAAATGGCAATTTGATTTCAAATTTTCTTCCATCAATTAATTTTAAAATTATTGAGTCACCATGGAAAGTTAGTCGAAGTTAGTAACTTTGAACATGTGATTCAGTTCACTTTTCAAAAACCATCAAAAAGTTCAGTTCCTTTCCCATTAACTTTCTTTTCTTAAGATTTATTGATACTTTATGGAGTAAAACAAATAGTAACAACCAACTTGCTTGCAATAAAAACCAACAACCAAACTAATTAACTTCATACTTTTAACATGGATTTTTCATGTTCTTTCCCATTACCACATGAACATTTTTATTTGTAGTAAAATTTTATTTTCATAAAAACTGATAATTTTAAACCCAATACAAAAAATTTAAATACTTTAAAATTTTAATAAAAATTATATATAATTTTGAAAAAAATAAAAAATAAATATTTTATATTTAAATTATTGATACCAATCATGATGTAATAATTTTTTATGATTATAGGGTCGTAGACAGGCTGTCTAGAAACCTCTCTCTCGCTGCCGAGGCAAACCCAAATACGAAAAATGACAAACAAAAACAATGATTATCCTAAGCCCTGGAGCCTCTGCTTTTCAAATCCCCAACATTACTCGTACTGAATTTTCTTTCCCTTTCAACTGCTTCCCACCGTTTTCAACCGTTAAATTTTCCTTAGAGAATCATGCTTCACCAACGACTTCGTTTTTGTTGGTTAAACCTAAAAGAAGCCAAGAAATGAGTACCCAAAATTTGGATAGGGAGATAGATGAAGAAGAAGAAGAAGATGAAAGTGGAGAATATGAGGCAAGGAGAGGAGAGGGAAGAGGGGGAAAATTATGATAATGACCCTGAATTTGCTGAGATTCTTGGGAGCTGTCTTGATGACCCACAAAAAGTCGGTCCAAAGTATGTAAAGACTTGGTCATTTGATAAATTGATTTGCAGGTATTAATGGGTTTTAAGTGATTGCAAAACGGGGTTCTTTGTTTTTTGTTTAAAACAAAGGAGAAAATTTTAGGACATTTTACAGGATATTCTTTTTTCTTTATAAAGGAAATGGTTTGTTCTTTTAATTGATGGAGATGATTGGATGTTGAGAATGAGGAAGAAAAGGAACAAAATTTTGCACACAAAGACTGGTTCTGGGACACCCATGAAAGTAACATTCTACAAGTGAGTTGATATGTATATTGCCCATGCTTAATGCTCCATGATTGTGGAGTTTAGCTTGGTTGTAGCTGATCTGGCAAATGGGTTGAAAATTCTTGAACCACCTTTTCCTCATTTGCCATTCCTGGAGTTCTTTTCTTCTATTAACTTCTCATAGTTTAGAATACAAATCAGTTACTATATGTGTGGATTTCATTATAATTGCTTTTCTTGTTTCCTACCACTTGGTAGTCCGTGTTTCCTCACTCCTGGAGATTGGAGTCATCTTCTTATATTGCTTGTCCCCTTGATGGAATTTGTCAGAGATTCTGTTTTATTAAATGGTTCTTTATTTGTCCGCATTGACAGATTTTATTTTTCAATTTCATACATTTGGTTTGAATTCTACAATGCTCCATTGGAAAAAGACATTTCCTTAATTTGTGATGTAAGTAATTTCTTTGAATCTTATGGATATTATCTTTAGAAAAATATTCAATGGCTTAAATGATCTGGTTGTTTGCAGACAATTCGATCATGGCACAGGTCGGCTTGGTGGACGCCATTCCATGAATATGCAAGTAAGTTGTCTCTTTGGTTGTTTTAAATGAAGAAACCTCATTTTAAAATACCTCAATGAATTCATAATAATCACAAGGGAAATTCCATTGCTTGGAAAAGCGTTGGACTGTTTGTGTTATATTTTGGTTTACTTTTCCTGGATACTTGAAGTTCCCAAAATACATGTTAAGCTTGCCATGTCCAGCACCTCAAAAAAGAAGTTTGTTGCTTACTTGTGTATTATCGGCAGTTATCACAATGTCCTTTGGAGAACAGACCAAGTTATGATGCTATTCAAGGAGGACATGTGAATCCAACTACATTTTACGACATTGGAGATCTTGCGGTTCAAGACAACTTGGCACGTATATGGTGTAGGTTTCAATTTCAATATTTGGTGTCTTTCTAGTTTCTTCTGACACTGAGTTTGTGCATTCTAATCTTTCATTTGTTTAGAATTTTGAAAATGGATATTTTCATGATTCCTGCTCACGAATCTGGTAACAACAGGGTGGATATTGGGACCACTGAACCCTTGCTTCTGGATGTTCTGATACATGAATTGACACAAATAAGCTCCGAGTAAGTTTCCTAATATTTATTTCTTTAGACAACTTTTAGCACTTGTATGAATCCCAGTAATATGGTATCAGATGAAATGAACATTTATTTCCCCAAACATTTGGACTACCTTCAAACTGCAAAAATGGGAGTTCTTCGAAGATAATAATGCAGACCACCTGCACATACTATTCAACTTACAAGGATAAGAATTCAAAACATGTTTCGTTTACGTAACTAATGCAGATTGCTATCATTTGTGTTATTCATTTATCACCTTTAGTTCTATAAATGCTTTGACTTCGCCTTTGATTCTTATGCTTCGTTGTTCTGTTACCTCCTTGGCCCCAATTTGTGCTCTGAATACACAAACCGACTCTGATCCATTTAATTTTTCATTTCTCAATCAACAGCTACATTGGAATTAAGCAATTGGTGTTGGTGGATCTGAACTTGAGAATTGGAGGGAGAACTTGACAACGGAGGATGCAGGCTATAGTGTTCACAAGATTTAGCTTATCTAAGTTAGAACCCTGGGAAAACATCTAGCGGCCATTTTCCGTTCATTGTGAATGTACAGAGAAGGTTTGAGGATTTAACGTGAAAATGATGGTTGCTGAAATTGTGCTGTCTGTGCAGATGGAATAACTTAATTAGATGCGGTTTTAGATGCTCTGAAACTATACTCAAAGGAAAAGTATATATTTTAATCTAGAGATAAATTTTTTTCAAATGTTAGAGATTTAAACCACAAACCCGGATGACACCTCTGGTGGTTGCATAAGCCTCTGTTGATTATGCAACGCAAATCGGTTGTTCAACATCCTGATGAGAAATACGTTACCATTCATTTAGCATTACCTTAATGCCCGATGGGCCAACTGGCCAAGAAGGAAGCTGAGGATGACACTGTCAAAGTCCAACCCTCCAATAATGGGGACTCAGAACTTAGAACCTTTGCATAGATAGATCCAAGTTCAACCCTCCCAAAATGGGAAGCGAATATGATTATATGACAAACGTTGATTCAACAATAACGTCAACATAGGGAATATTCAAATTAACGTGAGGGTTAAAATGATCACATTGACTATAAAGTCAGCTAATATTCTAAGATAGTACTGCTCAAAAATTTACAAACATGCCTCAATTTAGCACAGCCTACAACTTCACCAGAAATTATCAGTAATTCTTATCCTGGTTAATGCATCACGCCGAGAAGTTGCACTTCATACATGTTTCTGAGACACCTTTTGTGCAATTAACTTCACCTCTTTAATTCTCTCATCAACCAACAGCTGCAGCTGCTGTACTTGAGTCTTTGTCTGATCTTCATCCATTTGAACACCACCGACCTTGCTATTCTGAGACCTGAACATGACAAATGACATCTCCTCATCATGTGCACTTGGGACCTCAATCACTTGCTTTCCTGCAGTCTCAGCATCTTTCCCTAGTATATCAGCCTTCACCCTATTCGAAATGATTGTTACATAGTCCTCCATATGCTTCTCTAAAGGATCAAGGCCAAGATATATCAAAATCTCCCAACATTGAAGAAACTGTTTCTTGTTAATTTTCAAAGTTTTCCTGACATCCTCAACTACATCAGGAGGTGGCAAAAATCGAGGAACATGGGTTTTTTTTGACAATTTTCCTTGCTTCAGATGCAAGATAGCTGATTTAGCAGCATTCTGGGCTGGTTCAAAAGCTAGCAGTCGTTTTAAATCAAAACAGGTGCGCACACATTGGAAGTAATCTAGAGGCTCTTCAACTGTCAAGTCATAAACGTTTTCAGATATTGCAACATTGCTCAGCACCTCCACAAGGTAACTGCCGTAACCCTTGTGCTGGTAAGGAGGCAATACCAAAATCTGCCAACAAAAAAAACCTTCATGAAAAATGCTAATGGTGATTAACAACATCTATTAACATGCAAAGATTGATGAAGAGGGCAATAGTTTGGGTTTTCATTCAGCCTACCTCAATTACTAACTGGAATAATGACAGTGAAAAAGATTATACCTGGCTGAGTCGCAAGCGTGAACCATCAGGGTAACGATAAAAACGATAAAGCGCTGCAAAACCAAGCAATGAATGCTGCGTGTTCTCTGACTGATCAATTTTCTTCTGAGTCAAGAGATATAACTCCCAGCTTGGATCAGTTACATCAATAGGATTGCTACCTAATCAAGAAAATAGAACTATTTTGATTATATTAGGAATGACATACATATTGCCATTAACATGTAGTGGAAATTGACAATTACCGTCAACAAGAAGAAGAACCAGAGGTACCAAGCGACTATAAAGATGTCCAGCAGCCAAATTACGTATCACCAGGCGTACAACCTAACACAGAAGGAAAACAAATCAACCGTGGCTCACAGTTGCATACATGCAACTCAATACCATTAATTTCACAGTGATGTAATCTACGAGCAAGTTAAAATCAAGGTTATCTATAAAATGGAGTACAGACAGAAGTTTCAGGTTGGGCAATTGAACTTAGAAAAGACCGAAATAATGACATTTTGGCAACCAAACAAACACCATTCATACATAATTGAAGACAGAATTAATGAAAGCACCAAATATTTTAGTACATGCAAAGATGGTAAAATTACCTCAAGATCAGAAGAGGCTGCTTCTGAATTGCCATTAAGTTTACTTAAATGGCCATTGGATGCTTTTGGTTGCAACTTCTGCCCATTTGAAACAACTGAACTGAAAAATGTAAACGTATTGAGTTCACAACACCATAACCAAAGGAAATAGAAAGCCAACATTAGAAAGAGAAATGGGCAAAACATCTTTATATGTGTATAAGATTTTCATGGCATGATACCTAATGAAATTATTCTCAGTCGAAAAAGTTTGCAGAAAGTCGTCTTCGTTCTCCAAAAGAGTCTCACCAAAAATTTTCTGTACAAAGAAGACTTAATTAATCAGAAGGCTCAAGATATCAGGATTAAGTAAAGGCTGAACATGGTTGCTAATGTATACCTCAAGAGAAGATTTCAGGTCTGTAATCCCTTTGCCCCCCTGAAATAAACAGTGGAAAGCATTAAAATGACATGAAAAGACAAAGAAAATGCTTCACTGACTCAATGTATGATACAACAAAGAGATCAAACCGCTACTAGTAGTTCAGGGTTTAAGATTTCTACTTACATCAGATGTGCCTTGGAAAGTAATATCAGCATGTGCATGAAAAGATATGCTGTTAACCCAGATAGTTATCTGCATAAAATGAAATGAAACACAATACATCGAAACTACCATCAGACAGAACAAAAGATTGTAATATGTTGCAACTTATGAACAAATATTACCTTTAACCCTTGGTAACCATATATCTTCCCATCTTCCTCAAAAAAGCTGTTCAAATCAACTGGACTGATACAAAAACCATCTGAAGTTCCCACTTCCTCTTTCTTAGAAACTAAAGCAAATAAGTAATCCAAAAGAAAGTTCACATGAAAAATATCAAAAACTGGAAATAAAGTAAACTAAATTAAATACAAAACTAATAACTAACATAATAAGGTTGTTTGTGTATCATTAACTAAAAAATGACCTAATAAGGTTGCTTCTGTATAATTAGGAACCATCCATTTGCCAACAATCAAGAAGCATTTTAACATGGCACAGCTAGGCCCATGCCATACGTAATGAATTTAACAATGAACGGAGTCTTCCAACTTGTATATTGACAGGTCATGCAGCAACGCTACTTTTAAATAAGTAATAATTATAAAATGTTTTGAGCAAATTGCCTTACATTATGACTGCATCTACTATAGCAAGAGCAAACTTAACAATCATATAAATACCATTCTCTTCTTCGTTACTTAAAACAGTTAATTGGTATCCAATTGGCGAATTCAAGAAAATCAACTTTATTTTTCTCCTTTTTTTCCATCAACGTATAGCAAAACCCAAAAGCCTTAGGTTCAAACAGCAGATGATGAACTACTCATAAAATTAACACAAACAAAAACTAAAACAAGTTAAGGGAAAAAATAATTTAAAAAGATAAAAGCGAAACTCACCCAAATAAATCTTAATGCAGTCGTTGGGCTCAACACCAGCATCTGCTTCAAAAAAAAATCAAAACAAAAAATACAGTAAAAAAGAAACAACAGTGAGTTGAATCACAAAGCACTCTTTGGAAAATAAATAAAAATGGGATTTACAGCGAAACGAAGGGATGTGAAATGTAATTTGGGTGGAAAAGCTAAAACATAAAATGATGAAATCGGAGAAGAGTAGACCGACCGATGTTGGAGAAACCGACGCGTCGCTTTTTCTTGGGCTCTGGGAGTGGATCGGGGTTAGGTTGTTGCTGCTTCTGCCCCATTTCGCCGGAGGGTAGGGTTTCGCAGAGCGGGAAATGATAAACTAAGAGGCGGGAAATTATGTTGTCCGAATTGGGGATAATTTAGGGCTATTTATAATAAGAGACCCAATGGCCGCAGCGCTGGTGATGTATGACACGATTCGGCTTCGAGGCCGCACTGGACCGGGTTTGGTACATTGAAAAGTGTTCACATTTTTTAGAATTTTTTTTTGAAATTCACGTTTTTTAGATTTAAGTGATTTAATTTAAAGATATTTTTGTCAAAAAAATTTTATATTTGTAAAGAACAAATTTTTGACTGCATTTAGAATTTTAATTTATGATAAACAGATTCTCAAATGTGATATGTTACATCAAATGTTATTAAAATAAGTTTAATATAATTATTACAAAAATCAAGTATTCCCAATTTGAGTTTCCACAATTTGATTAAATTAAATTAATGGATTTATGAAAATCTCAAAATGATTTTTAAATTAATTAATTACACTATAATAATTATAAATGATACATAAAATATCAAATACTGAAAATTATAATCTAGTTATTGAAATTGATAGTATGTTTTATTTATCAAAACAACTTAAATGACTGAAAAATCAAAATGCACACTCATACAACAATGTAATTAAAATTTCCAAATGTGCAGAAATTAAACTTGAAATTAATTATCTTAAAATTTAGGCTTAACATCTCTAGCAGAGGTAACAATTCTTCAACTAGATCAAAAGCTTGAACATGGGGTGAAAATTTTACTGTCTGAAACTTTTGGAACCAAAGAAAACCAACATTCATACGAGCATGACACTATCCTTAAATATCTATCTCACTTCCTGCCGATCCTAACAGCCTGTCTATTCCTCTTCTTGACTCCAGATTTGGCTACCTTAAGGCTCCTATGAACAGCACTAAGTCTTGCAAGGGCTGCCTTCTTCAAGTCTGGTCGGTAGTAATTATCTGCAACCTGAAACCATTAAACAAAGTAGCAGCAACCAATCAGTAAAAGGCTCACATTCAATAACTTTTCACCCACGGAGATAGATTGGGTATTAGCCTTTGTTTAGGGTGGTTTGGCAGACAGAACTCCATGACTTGAATTCAAAGTCAATTGATGACATTAGAACTAGAACTCGATGAATAAAAGCAGGAATTTTCCCAAATTGATCAATCCGTACCATTTGCTACCAATACAAGAAAGAAAGAACAAGACTTAATGCAAGACATTCAACAAAGAAAACAAATTTTTGAAATCAAGAATTATTGTTAGCTGCAACAGTTGATCAAACAAAACAATAGAATAGACAAGAAAATGAAAAAGAGCAATGTTCCATGGTTGAGGATGGAAGCTCAGAAGCCAAGCGAAACAAGTATATTTCACTGAAGAACCGACCATAAGATTGGTCTTCTTACATGTTAGCTTTTCATCACCGCCTCTAAGATAAAACTGTCAATAGATGGTTGCAGGCAACATTCTTAGATAAAAGTTGTTTAACCAGGAATAACCATTATTGAAACAGAAGATTAGCATATCAGAACATTACATTCAAACATAAGACCAATCAAGGTCTGTCTCACAAATAGTTTCAATACAGGCTAAACCCACACATGTGTTCATAACTAGTAAAACAAATTCGTAAAAATACCTGATTGACAACAGCCTTAGCCATCCTAGGAAACTCCTTCTTCATAACAGATTTATGAAGCAAGCTTGCACGTTTGTTCTGCTTCTTAGTTTTTGAGGTGGCAAGCAACACTGACTGATCCTTTCCTCCAGACTGAATAGTTACAGTCTTCTTGTTTGCTAGACCTGTAACAATTAAAAAAAAAAAACCAATTAACGCATTTTTTACATTGGGATTCTAAATCTACGGACAAAAGTTAAGAAAAAGTGGAGGATGGGGTTACCAGAGTGCTTGTAAGAGTTGAGATTGTAGAGATTGTTGCTCTCCTTACTGAACTGCACGCTGGCGTTGCCTCTGCCGAACTCCTTCACCAAGAAACAGTTGTTCTTCTTCACGATCTCCCAAATCAACTGCCCTGGAACCGTCGCCATTTTATTTACCTGAGAACAATGGAAAGAGATCAGATCGAAGAGAAACAAAAATGGGGAAGAGGGGAAACAAATTTAAGATCGTAGAGGTGGAAATGAAAACTGATACCAAAGTTTGGGAAACAAAAAATGGAATCATGAGAATTACAGTGAGGAGAAGTTACCACAACAGAGCAAGAGAGGACAGCGGCGAAGAGGGTTTTCGGGTCGCTTGACTATAGGGATACTGTAAGTAATGCCCTCACATTCAGGTCAAAAACCGTAATCAATTAGGACATGTTAGGAGGAAGATAAAAGGTCCCAAGTTCGATTCTCGGAGCGCCCCCAAAGTGATTTTTTTTTTAAAACATTTTTTGGAGGTTGGACCAAAGGGGAACACAAAATTTAGGTAAAAATGTGTTTACTTCCAAATTAAAACAGAAGAAAGCCAAATCAACTAAAAGTGCACAAATGGCTTGTGCATCAATGATGTTCTCTTCCAAAAGATAAGGAACTTGAAAAGGGGAAAAGTATAGTCTTGACCGAAGGCAATAAAGTCATTAAACTTTGAATTCTATATCCCATCTAGTTCCTTACAGAATGTACGTGTATCAATGCAACACAAACATGATGCAGCGGCTGGCAATCAACCTCACTTGAATGAAGAAACCACAAGTTTAGCCAATGTACATCAGCATCATATTCTGCAAACAAATGATATTTTACATTTTCAATCAATAGAATTGTGCTTTGTAGAAAAACTACAACCTTCACAGATATCCAATATTTACAAAACAACAACTAAGCATCAGCTTGGTGATGCTTGGTTTTCTTTCCTCCTTTTCCCCTTTCCTTCTGCTGGAAGGCAGGATGCTGGGGCACTTGGTGGTGAACTCTCTTGTTGAGTCAATTGAAAGTCGAAACCAGTGGAGTTTGCAGTAGGATTCAGGAGGAGATGCAGAAGATGGTAAGAACCCACCTATGAAGTTTAGGTTGTAAGAAGGGCATGGATGTCTGCAATACCATTATCCAATATGCTTTCACTTTCCAAGCAACCATATTCTTTTGTACAGGTCATGTAGTTACTGATGTCTTCATACCAGTCACCCATATGCATATTTGCAGACAAAATACTTATTCTAATCATTTGAGGTTGCCCAAAAAACTTCATCCCTTTCATTTGGGAAGAGTAATTTAAACCAGAGAAACAACACAAAGACAACATAAAAGATTAAGCATTCCTATTTCCTTCCTAGGAAGGAGGATTACCAAATTAAATACCAACAGAGACCCACACATCTTCTGATCCTTTCTTCCTCATTCCCCATCTCCATTTTACTCTTGGACAATAAGTTGTACAATTAGAGATGAGGCTAATAGCAGCTCTAGAATCTTCTTTACGTTGGAGAAGTAACGCCATGTCTGATAAGTTGGTGCATTTATCCAAAATAGAGTAAATAAATGAGAGGGTAACTTCAATATCGTGCACAACTAAATGGGCCACAATCTCTGTCAACTCCTTCATTGCATTCCTATCATCCAAACCTCCTTTCTGGAAGCATATCTCTGCTTCCGACCAAGCCCCAGGGCCTAAATTAAGAGATACTACATTTGGAAACACATCAAACAATGCTTCCAAGCCAAATTTTCTTCTTTCAAGAGCTTCAGTCCATTTGAGAGAATCCACTGTCAGCTTCTTAATTGATTTACCAGACGGAAACATGCCAAGGAGGCTAGGAAGACTTGAAGATTCAAGCTGAAGGTTTTCCAAATTATAAAACTCTTTCACTCTAAAATCATATGCCTCCTCAACTGAAAGATGGAAATCTGACAACAATGGGGTATCAAGAACCAGAGATTTTGGCTTAATACATTTCAGTCTGAGTTTCACGAGGTTGGGGGCAAAGATAGTCAAAGAATGCGGAGCATTTGACGCTATCCACAAGCAGGATTTAAGATGCAAGAGATGAATCTTGGGATCTTTAAGTCCACCAACGCGAACCAAATTGAGAACTCGAAGAGAAGGAAAGCAATCATTAACTTTGTTTAGGTCCTCATCTTCAAGTCTAATAAATTCAAGAGTCAAACTCGTTACCATAGTCATTGGATTCAACCCATCAACCGAAAGCCAAGCGTTCTTCAGCTCTAGTTCGATAAGACCATTGCCTACAGACACAAAACAAAAGTAATGGCCTTTACACAAGATATAATGCAACTTAACAAAAAGAGAAAAGCTTTAACCTTTAATGCAACCAAAATAAAACCAACGCTCAATTCATTTCCAAAGGTGTGCTTAACCATCTTTCGCAATACCATTTCTCATAATCTTAACACAAATTAATTGTCCCAATTTGCCTTAAAACGACTGCGTTCAAACTAAGTCTCCTGTACTCAAAGATAAAACAAGAAAGAAATAGCAATTGCCGAGATACTCACAACACGAAGAAATGAAGCTCAAAACCTCAGATTTCCTCCAGCAAGACTGTATCCAAAAATCCGAAATCGACAGCTTCCTTAGCTCCCCGCAAACCTTAGGCAACCACTCCTTCACGAAACCCACATCGGTCAAATACAAATCATCCGACTCATCATCAACGTCATCGTACGGGATATCCCTGAGCGACTTATCGACTCCGATCGAAATTGAGTTAAGACACCGAGCTTCGCGTACAAGGTTATTAAAGATTGCCTTGAAAGAAGTGACGTGGGCTTTGGTCTCCGGCGAACGGGATTTAAGGTAGCGAGAAAAGGTGCAGAGGAGGTTAACATAATGGACCTCGTTAGAGAGGGAGTTCAGTGTTTTGGAGGCGAGTCGACACCGAGCAAGGTCGGTGGAATCGTTGAGTCGAGTCAGAATTTCCACGAGAAGAGGCGGCGGTAGATCCTCCATTGAGAAAAAGAAAAAGGGCCAAAACAGCTGAATGGAAGGTATTAAAGTCGTTTCAAACGGTTGACCGGTATTTGCTACCATTCAAAATCTGACCAAGTTACATGGGTTGTCTATTAGATTACGCTAATACCCCTATATGATATGTTAGAATTTCTAAAATGCCATCCAAGTGATTGAAACGACACTATTTCGTCACCCGAGGTTTCGACTGTCAGTTTTTTTGGGGGTTTAGCCGTTCAACTCTGTAACTGGTTCGAGAGAGATGGGAAGGAGGATCCTAAACGATGCGTTGAGGTCAATAGTGAATGCGGAGAAGAGAGGCAAAGCGACGGTGGAATTGAAACCAATCTCCACCGTCATATCTTCCTTTCTTAATATCATGAAATATCGAGGTGAGCTTTTTTTGTTTTTAATTTTTTTAATTCGTTGTTTTTGCTTATGGTTTTGGTTATTTTGGTTAATAAGAATGGGTTTTTGCTTGATTTTAAATTATTGTTGATTAATCTCAAGAATTAGTTAGGTTGTAGCGACCCAGTAAAAAAGTTTTGAAATTTGTTGTTTGTTGTTTCTTGAACTGTAAAATTTTCTTTTTGCTTAAATTTGATATTTATTGTACAGAAATTAGTGTTATTCGATGCCAAATCAGTGAATGCTTATGCTTATGTATGTCAAAGGGTGACCTTGTCCAGGGATATTCATTTACTTGGTTATACACGTATTTTTTGGGGTGTGTGATATAGAATTTGGATGTTGTAGGCTGTTGATTCATTTTTAGACTGCATAAGTAATCTTAATATCTGAAGATTACTCCCTTTTTGTCACTTGAGTTTGAAGGGCAACGGGGAGTTCTTCCGTATCTTCAGTGGTCAGATGAAAATAGTGTATCTTCCTTTGTATTCTGGTTTATTTTCATTTTTGGTTGAAACTCGGTAACAGGTTGGTGTGTTTAGATTTATTACCAGAATCCTTGCTTCAATCTTCGTGTGCTGTATGTTTCATCGATATGGTGCGGATTGAATTATGAGAAGATTATTTTCCTTGTTTTTTGACAAATCAAGCTTAGTTTTTGTTTATTTGGAGCTTTGAAAACCATTAGGCATGTTGCTCTTTTTGATGCATTGGCACAGTGGTAATCTCGTGGACTAAGTGGCTACAAATCTAGATGCCTTGTATATTTAGATTTGCGGCTACTGCCTACTGTTGAATCTATTGCTTGTTGCGGGTTGTTAACTTCTTTGTAATTTTTCCTTTTGAAAGGATACATCAAGAATTTTGAGGTTTATGATCCACATAGAGTGGGGAGGATAAAAGTTGAACTGCAAGGCAGGGTAAACGATTGCCGGGCACTCACTTACAGGCAGGACATCAAAGCAAAGGATATCGAAAAGTACAAAACACTTAAACTTCCAACACATCAGGTTTGTTAAAAATCTTTATATGTCTAGTGTTTCAATTATTCATTGCCAATTTAATGTAGAAAGTGCTGGGTACAGGATTGCGAACGTACCAGCTATATCTTTAGAATCTTCATATCATCATCTGATGGCCTCTTATAGTTTAATACTTAACTTGTTCTTTAATAATCTTATTCCATGCAGTGGGGTTATGTTGTGATTTCAACTCCAGATGGTATTTTGGATCATGAAGAAGCCATTAGAAGGAATGTGGGTGGGCAGGTTCTTGGTTATTTTCTTTAGACTTGGCTCTCTTTCTGCTCACTTTCGGATGGGAAAAGTAGAAGGGTAGTTCTTTGAGCTCTGCTTTATCCGTTAACTTTCAATCAATATCTATCTGAATCATGTATCATTGAATATTGAATAGTGGAATATTACTTTTTTGGGATTAATGCCTCAATTAGTTTTGATTATTGTAGTAATTGCAATGCAAAAGCAAACTTCAACAAATCTCTATTCAGCTGCCAACCAATTTTTAAGACAAATTCGCCTCTCCATAGCTTCTGCGACTCGTAACTCCTTTTCTCATTCAACTACCTTGTAGCCTTTCGATGCAACTGTGGACGTGGTTAGTAAATCTCGAGTCATGGATGAAAGCAATACTTCTTGCTTTCCTTTCCACCATCCTGAAGCATAAAATTTTTCAGTTTCTTCCCTTGAACAAAAACTTTGCCCAAAATTGTTTTGTAAATAAAATTTAGTTCATTAAAATAAGTATGCGTTGATATAGTTGCAACAAAGTTTACCATCTACCATAATTACTACTAGTAGTAGTAACTTGAGATACTTTGGTTGATCACTTATTGTCATATTGAATGCTATATAACGCATACATATTGTGTAAAAACATATTAATAGGTTGTTTTATCTTATCTAAGAGTTCATTTGATAGCTTGACGAGAGGGATTTTCATGGCGTCATAAAACCACTAGTATAATGGATTAAATAGCTAAATTCTTCGTTAATTATGACGACGAGCGCCATTTGACAGCTCAACGTTTATTCCTTTCTTTGTCAGTATAAATTGGGAACAAATATGGGATGTACAATAAGTTATTAGATCACTGTCATGTCATTACTCATTAGATCATTACTACCAAGTACTAATCCAAAGTCCCAAAATGGTGAACTTTTCAGATGTAATTTATTTTCAGTAAATAGGATCTTTCCACATGTTTGATTTATTGCAGGATCCTTGGTAACCAGTAAGATATGTAGTAATAATAATAGTGAATATAGTTCTGAAGAAGTGACGACGAACATCAGCAAATGCGCCTGCAGATGGTCATCCCATCACCCAATGGAGTAAGAGAGATTTCCACGCGATGATCGGTTGAAATTGTTTTGTTGAACTCGATAATGAACCCTCTTGAAACCCTTCTGTGTTCTGAAACAGCTTCTTCAGGTTGAGTAACCGTGCCTCCCCAAAGTGTGTTGTCAAAGATGATCAGCCCACCAACTTTCACTAGCTTCAAAAGTCTCTCATGATAATTCCAGTAATTATCCTTATCCGCATCAACAAATGCAAAATCAAAACTCCCTTCATTCTCTTTCTGATGGAATGAAAAACCAAAAAAAAAAAGAAGATGAGTTTGATTGATTGGAGTTCAAGAATTGGAAATAGAGATTTATAGGGTGGATATTTAATGCTCAAATTTTGTAGAAGCTTGTCGAGAACTGGTAGAGCTTGGGACTCAATGAAGTTGATTTTGTGTTCAACACCAGCTTTTCGGATAATGGGCAGACCTATCTCATAAGTTTCCCTGTTTATATCCATGGCTATAATCTGCAAAGAGAATTTTACAAATGTACAAGTAGATTATGTAAAATAGAGACTATCATAGACAATGAAATGGAGAGGTGCAATTGCAAAACCTTGCCATCATCTGGGATTGAAAGAGCTGTGAGGAGAAGAGAGTAGCCTGTATAAACACCAATTTCAATTGTCTTCTTTGCATTCACTAGCTTCAGGAGCATCCCCATTAATTGACCCGCATCTGGTGCAGTACTCATGACGAACCTGGACACAAATATGGATCATAGCAGTGTCAAAAGAATTACTTATTTTCATGTTAATGTCAGACAACGAAAAGAAAACCTTAAGATCCCAAAGGAATAATCTGATAAAAGAAAAATTTACCATGGATGGTTTGCAGTAGCAATCCTGAGCTGCTTGAGAGGTGCTGGTTCCCTAGGGTAGACGCTGGTCTCCAAGATATACTGTCACAAAAATCAGCCCATAAAAATTGAGTTCCATTTCTTTGTTTGTATAGGAATCACTTATCAAGTAATGAGAAATAAAATACCTCATACAAGTCAATACTCTGCAACAACCCTTTTCTCATGGTTTTTTCCATACCCTGCAACAAGGTGCTTGAGAAACAAGGAAAACATGTTATTATCATGCTATAAAGTCTTAGGAATTCATTAAATGTTTAAAACAGTACAATAATGAAACCCCAAATCTGTGACAAGAATATTTGAAGGAGAAAGAAGGGTATACCTTGGTAGTTTCTAGCCTAACAACTGAATATGGTTCATGCAAAAGCTCTGATGAAAGCTTAGAGAGCTTGCCGATGATGCTAAATATATAATTATAGATGAATTAAGCTCACACCAACTTGATGCCTTGTAAAAATTTTAAATAAAGGAATTACTTATTCAATTCGAAATTTTTTCTCTTTTAATTAATAAATGAGTCAGTTTTTCTTCCTTGGGTATTTAAATTTCGGTTTTTTTTTCTACAACCAAGGAAAGGCATGCACGTATTAATTTGAGTCAAATATTCGGATGCATATTAAGTATAACATTTAATACAAGAAGTTACCAAACTTTTATTTCTTCTCATAAACAGCATGAGAAGGAACCCACGGGACACGAGCTTTACACTCTTCATGAGAAAAAACTGTAGAAATTAATCAAAGTAACCGAATCAAGATAGAGGATGTACAAAGGCCCTTGCACCCTCGAGACGATTTGATTGTATGCTTGGCTGCAGAGGGATTCTAAATTGCTTGAGGAAAAGCAGGAATTTTGCAGAGAATCAATGGCTGCAAAATGATACTTCCTAGAGTTTAGGGGCCATAGTCGGTTGAATCTAGTTAATATAGACATTATACTGAATGGCTAATATAACTCTCTTCACAAGTTCACCTCCACAAAAATTGATGATATTGCATGCTAATGTACGCCAAAATCACAAGACTCAGCCTGAGAAACTTATTCCACCTCTTAATTGTCCAGTTCCAATGGAACAGTTTTATTGCATTACAGCAAGTTTCAAATCAAAGAAGCTTATATTATACATCCCTATATACCTCAAAAACAAAAAACCTGTATAAATATGCAGATAGAAAATAGTAGTAAGAATATAACACAGCATATGAGAATAAAAAAGGAACCTATATTCATTGGCGGTTCTGTCTGAGCGAATTTAAGTGTGCGACCAAGGTGTCATAATCAGGAAGCTTTGGGTGAACATGAGTGGCAGTCTCCTTAAATGACCCCTTCCCAATTGAAGTTTGAGTCTTCAAACTTTTGGCACTACCTGATGATATAATCTTTGGGACAGGAGTAGATGGCTGTTCCTTTTCTGATGACTTCAAAGTTCCACCAAATGAAGACCTTTTGGTCTCAGAAACCAGCCTTGAAGGTGGTTGTGATGCCAACCTGGAATGCTGAAAACTTTCCCAGTGATCTGAGTTTTTTTTCTGAGGCCGAGTCTTTGGTAGAGCTTCATCAGCATCAGAACTCCTTGAGGAGGAAACTGTAGTTTTAATGTTGGAGCTTCTCCTTGAATTTGAAAGAGAGGCCCTGGTCCTTTGAGAAAAACTAGCATTTGAATGAGGCTTTAAACTTGTTTTAGGAAGATCTTCATCAGAATCACTATTTCCTGAACCAAAATATGGGACGGGAACCCTTAAGCTTGATCTTTTATTTTCTTCAAAGCTTTGCATTTTGTTGTATTGTTCTTGAGTGTTACTAAAAGTCTGTTTTGGTCGTTCCTCATCAGAGTCACCATCACTAGAGTCAATATGAGTAACTGATGCTCTCGTGCTGAGTTTTCTATTCACTTCCTCATTCCCTTTCCTACCGTATGACTCTTGATTGAAAGATACAGAACTAACTGGAGCTTCCACTGCTGAGGGAGAGGATGATTGCTTAATTCTAGTAGATGCATCATTGGCTGCCTCTCCAGAGGATAATGCATTGCCTTGTTGAATTTTTGAATATGATGGATGCCTATAACCCTTATTTCGAAAGCCTCCTGTCAAGTTTCCAAAGTTCAATTCCTTAATTTCTTCCAGACTAGACTCATTAGAATGTTCAGTATCTTCCATGCCTTCAGCCAACCGTGGAGTGAAAATACTGTTTTCAGCCTGGTGGGAATCCATATTCTGTTTATGACTACCTATACTAGGATTGGTGCTCCTAACAAACTTAGATTTATCTACCTCCTCTTCACTTTCTGAACTAGGGCCATAATTATCAAAAGTTGCAGGCAAGTCATCTCCATGTGAAGGAACTGCAGAGCTAGTTGAACTTTCAAAGAAGATAGGAGTAGACAGCTGCTCTGAGAAAATTTGTGATTTTGAAATGGACTTTCCAGGTGAATCGACATTCTGCTCAGTCCTCCAAGAATTTGTACTTGTAAATGGATGAGTAGGTGATATTTGACCTGGAGAAGAAAAGTTCATACTGTTTTCATGTATCTGATATTCTTCCTGCAAACCAAAATTATCTTCATCATTATCTGATCCATAATCATCAAAAACTGCCGAGGCATTGTCATAAGAATCTGTTTTTTCTTTTGTGCTTCTTTGAAGGCTTCCTTTACCATTGAGAAGAAAAGAATCCTCACCAGAATCATTTCCTGACTTCTGATGGTTTAAATTTGATAGAACATCATGATCATCAGTAAAAGTACTGGTATGCGAATGAGATGAAGAATAACTTGATTGCTTCCTGATCCGTACTTCCTGATAATCAGCAAAATCAGAATTCTTTGTATCATGCAGTTCATACTCAAAATGCATCCTGCTTTCGCCCGAGTTCCTCCTACCATTTTCCAACTTCTGCCAATTTAAATTAGAGACAACATCATAGTCATCAGTAAAAGTGTTTGATTGAGAATGAGAAGAAGAATATCTTGATCGTTCCCCAGCCCTGCCTTCATGATGATCAACATTCAGAGGATTCTTAAAATCATGCAGTTCATTTACAAATTGCATCCCATTATCGCCTGAGTTTCTCTTCATACTCACTTCAGCAAAATGCTCCATCCTGCCTTCAGATGAGTTTCTTTGAGAATAAGCATCTGCGATTTGATTATTCACAGATGGTTTTTCATTGAAGGCAGCTGCAGTTGACTTAAAGGAACCATGACTGGATTTATCACCACTCCTTGCAATGCCTGCCACTCCTGCCCGGTTATGTTGTTCGTTGCTGTCAGTTTGTTCATAATCCGTAGAATTCCTTCCATTAAAGGAAATATTATTAACTGGATGTCGAGCAAGATGTTCATTTTGAGATGCTGAGCCAGTATACTTTCGTGGTTCCTCATCTCTCATACCATGAGGGGACGACATGTGTGACTCCATTGAATACTGCTGGGAGATGTTTCCACGGCTTGAAAGTTCAGCAGCAGCTCGGGCAGCCATACTAGCTAGCTCTGCAGATTCTGCAGCTGCCTGAGCAGCAGCAGTAGCATCTTTAAATTCCATATTCCAATGTTGTCTCGGTGAAGAGAAAGCACTCACACTCCCAGAATATGAATTTGGAGGATAAGTTCCAGAGGACATCAAATTATTGGCACCAGTATTCGAATAATCAAAACTTTTAAAGTGAGGAGATGATCTTGAGCTATGCTCATAGAAGCTTGTGTGAGCATCACTTTTTCCAATGTCTTTTGGATCTTGAACATTAGGTGGCTCCTTATCATAATTAGGAACTTGAACACTAGGAGGTCTCCGCTCATGACTGGTTGAAGCTTGGATATTAGGAGGATCTGCTGAAAATTTGGTGGCCTCTGTAAAAGTATTTGGTCCATTCTGCACAAGCAAATTCATATGGAAAGAACATAACTTGTTGAGCAAATCATTCAATCTCTGACAAACAAATAACCACATACAACCACTTCATAATCAAATATTTATCTTAGGAGGATCCTAAGTGTGATTATATGTTGGCATTGCAAACCAAAAATAACCTATTTTGCACTTTACTAGTCGTACCAGCAAGTCCTCATAAATCTTTGATTCTTTTGCTCCAAATGATTCAGGATCCCAGTTGATGTTGTGTTCCTCAGCAATTGCAGTCAAAATTTTGAGTTTGGTTGGACCATCGGGTGCTTTGGCAGATAATTTCTCAACCAACTAAAGGAAAAAAAGAATCTTTTTAAGCGCTATATACATTCTCATTATGGCAGATAATACTACTATGAAACTTTGGGTAAATTTCACCTATTGTTTATTCACAAGTAGATGTTCCATACAAACTCACCATACGACCAACACCACAATTAGGACGCACTTCAAGTGCGGCAGAAGTAAATTCTTTTCCATATTTTGCTGTAAAATGTTTGGATACATCCTTGAGTTCTGGTATCTCTTCACACCTTGCAGATGCAAAAACGACACTTGAAATTGCTTCCTTCAAGTCGATGGGGCAGTTTCTGAGTAATTCAGGTCAGTAAAACACAACCCAAATTTGTTAAAAAAAAAAGTAGAAATTGACAAATTTTAATTTAACTGAAAGACCAAAAGCACTTATAAAATCATCCTCTCCATGAACTAGCCATAATACATTTATCATGCATGTTTATCTGTCTATGCATTTAAGCACACATATCCAGCTGTTCAAAGCCACTGAAACAAAAAAAAGCTCCAACCTCTATCAGAAGTTGCCAATCTACTAAGTTGAAATCAAAGTAGTTATTTGGTAGTTGGATTCAATATCACTTTCCCCAGGTACCAAGGCAACTTAAGAGTTTTAAAGACCTAGTCTAATTGCTTTAACAATGAAGGTCTGTTTTCCTCTATGTGTTCAAACGTTTGCAAACTCAGTAAAAGTTTCCCTAATTCCATATGCATCTCTAGCGAAACATTAAAAGACGAATAAAAGCGATATATGAAATGGTAAAGAAAGCAATTTTACACACTTTTGAGACTCAATCATGGGCATACGTGACACGATAAGTTCACAGTATATCTCAAGAAGATTATATGCTGCCACAGTCTTTTCTTCCCTAACCACATGCTCCACCTGAAAATGATAATACCGCAACAATTACAAACAAAATCATGATTATGAAACTTTGATCAAAATCCAATACCCGAATTCTGGCCGTCTGATCCTGCCCTGACTCCAGTAACTGAGCTAACTCCCTCTTCAATTGCTTAACCTGTGCTTCCCTCTTGTTCTTCATTAGCTTTAGTCGCGGTATCGCTAGCTTTAAAGCTATCTTGCTGCAGCAAATGAAAATTTCAAAAAAAACCAATCAAAACTTAAAAAAAAAAGAAAGTCAAACGATCACTTGCTCTTCGATCCAAAAACCAACCAAAATTAATAAAACAGTTATTGAAATAAAATCAAGAAAAGAACTTACCATTTGGCTGGCTTGAAGCTCTTGTGAAGCATTTTCTTTTTTTTTTTTCTCCGATAATAATTAGATCAAAAGGGAATGGAAAGAATTAAAAGGTTTTCATCTTTTTTTTGGGGGGGAAGGGGCCGTCGAATTAGAAACTGAGTTGTGATTTTGATTCAAGCGATAATTTTCAACGGAAAATGGGATATTAGAGAAAGTGAAGAAAGTTATATGAACCGATTGGACTTTCGTGAACGTTGAAATGTCGTTTTTTTCTCCTTGCCTCTTTCTCTTGATTTCTTGTGATTGTCAGCAAACGAATCTGATTAGAACTTCTCAAAACGTGTGGGTTTTTTATTAAAAGATGGGACAGGGATTAACGATGTGTTCACATTCTGGATTTACCAAATTGCCCCTTTATCTCCATGCTTTTGCGGTGTTTTTTGGTTTTTTTTCTTCCAAACTGCTTCAGGGTTACGCCACGTTGATAATATTTTCTGTGTACTTCTTCAAACAAAAGGTAAGAAAAAATGGTCCAATTTAGAACCTTCTTCACTGTAGATAAAATTCAATCCTGCAATCAGAAATTATTTTCCGAGACTTTTTTTTTTCTTTGAATTGACCGAGAGAAAGAATAATCAAAAACATTTTTCAAAATTAATTAATTTATTATTTATGGTAATATTTTATATTAAATCCAATAATTAATATAATAATTTTAATGCATTAAAAAAATACTTCCCAAAATTATTTAAAATATTTTCACGATAATTTTCACCGACTCAAATAAATGAAAACAGTTCTCCAAAACATAAAATAAAATTTTCCCCTTGTAGATCTCCAAGGGAAGAAGAAGCCAATATCGTTTTGTTTTACAGACTTACAGAAGTTTTCAGTTCGTTATAGTTCTAAATCTTATGCTATTCAATAACGCTGCAAAATGGCATTGTATTAAAAAATTGGCACCCGGCAGGAGCAAGTGAGATGTAACTTTCAAGGGTCCACCATGTAGTTGGGCTGAAGTAAATGGTGATAGGTCAGTTTTAGGTAGTTAAGTTGGCAGTTGGGCTAATATCCGAACACCAATCGGAAATCTCTAATTCTTTAGCCTATACAGGAGGAGCTGTTTGATGCTGATTTTGACAAAACGTAAAGAAAAAAAAAACTCTTATTTTTCATAGCCAATCGAATGGAATTAATAAATTATAAATCTACAGTAAAAGGGCAATCCAATCAAGTTTATTTGAGTTCATCAAGCTTCGTACCCCGCAATATTTCCGGTATCGGATTCCAATACCTTCATTCCTGATTCGAAATTATTGATTAATTAATTAACAAAAATTTAATTAAAAAAATTCAGTTGCATTCTCAAGAAAGTACTTAATTCCAGAGATAAAGAAGATGGAGCTCACGATTACCACTTTCAGCAATGCAAGTTCTGCTACGTTTAACCTGTGTAATTATAAAAATTACTGTTACAACTATTAATTTTTTTCAAAAGAGAGTATGAAAATTTTAAAAATTCGATCATTCGATTATGATGCTTAATTGGGGAAAAGAAGAAAGCTAAGGTTTTGAGAATATTATACCTGGGAATCATTGGTGATGTAATCGGCTAAGACTGTGAGGAAGACGAAGATGAAAGCAAATGTTGCAATCACTGATTGGTCGTCCGATATACGCTTTTTTCCTTGCTTCAGTTCCCTTGTGAATTCACGTCGTCATAAGATTTTGACCAACATTGTTTTTCTATTGAACGATCGACGCTGTGGACCCGGGTGAGGAAATGATGAAATTACAGGAACGCCCCTCCTAAGCATTGGGATGGGATGGGATGGGAGCTTAGGTGTGCCAACGCGTAATCCGTTCATTGGTCTGGGCCTGTAGCTCCCATGTATATGGATCCTTTAAATAAAGGGGAAATGCAGAAAAATTTTGGTGTACGAGGCTTTTGATTCCATTTTGAAGGCTTTTGATTCTTGATTCTTCATTCGTGCAAACGCCAAATCGAGAGCAAATGATGCTCTACTATGAATTTATGTCAACTAGGAGCTATCCACTGTACTTTAAGCAGCACATAAAATGATGGAAATCTACTACCACGCTATAACTGTTCAAATTCCGAATCAATATTTAGGAAATTAGAAGCAGCTTCATCCACAAATAGATCGAAGAACTAGTTTTATATTGGAGACGACCACAATATCACTGACAGAGCGATATGTAGATTTTTCAAGGAATAAAGATGTTAGCTACTAACCTGGTGAAATATGATAGGGACTTTGCTATAGATATTGCGAGTGCCATGTCTGGTTTGTCTACTCAAATATCTAGAGGACGTAAGTGAATGCAGTGGTAACGACCTCCCTCGGGTACTTTTTATTTTGAATACGAATGGTGCTAGTAAAATTGAATCACTTCTGCTAGTGGTTTGACAGCCAACCTGCTGGTCTTACCCCCCTTCTTAAAGCTGACGCTTGTGGCGAGGGTTGGTTTTTTGCATTTTTTCTTTCTTCTTATGTCTACGAACCAAAAAAAAAAAGCGAAGGCGTTGACGAAAATCATGAGATCCAAGTGACTTACAAGGCTCTTCATCTAGCATATAGGAGTATAACCACCATCACCAAATTATAAATTAAAAAAAAAAAAAAAAAAAACATATCAGGGAGACCATTGCCGTGCCATGGACAGATGCCGATCAACTAAAAGCACCTCCAAAGCTGTTAAAAGCTATTGCAAAAAAAGGAAATCTAAATCATTGAAAATAGTTATATCTAATTAGTCAAGATTGAGCTGGTACTGTTAGAACCAATAATCCCACAACATTGAAAAGTTTGGCAAGAGACTGGGAGATTAGTGGAGATAAGTTGAGAGTAATTTCCACTATTATCATCAATCTTGGGCGCATTAGATTCCGTTAAGATAACGAGACAACAGCAAGCCTTATCAACCTAAGCCATTTCAACTATAAAAATTATTCAGGCTATCAAGTTAACTACTGGTTTCTCAGCTTCAAAATTTCATCAAACAACAAAAAATGTGCATCTAGAATGGCTGCAATTCAATCATGCAGACGATGACAAAAGCATACCCATCCAACTTCCTGAAATATCTTCCACTAGCAGATCACCCTTAGACATAGTAACCAGTGAAAGTAAAACCCCTTCCCACTATCTCACCGGCACAAAACCATGCAAAGCACTCCAGTCCAAACAAAGCAGCAATACCAGCATCTTCAACCTTCAGTTCTTTTCTGTTCTTCCACATATTCTTGACATAATCAAGTTCCTTCCAGAATGACTCAGTTCGACCAGGGATACTGCAAAAATTGCATCAAAAGGAGTTATTCTGCTATGCCCTTGTGATTCTAATTTTTACCCGGTATTACTGCTTCCATAGAATAAATTAATATTAGTTTCTAATGATAAAGCATATAACAAAAAGGAAATTGCAAAGAAACACAGTAAAATGATAAAAGGAGCATTATCTTGTAACATACACAATGATAAGCAACCCAGCCATATTGTTTTGTTTTTTTTTATTCTCTTCTGTTCAGAAGTTCATAGGACATCACAAGCACAGTCACAGAAAATTTCAGAATGTTAAAGAAAATGCAGTCTAGTTGATATATTTACTAGTAAGTTGCAATCCAGCTTTCATTCGCTTCCCATCATCCTAAAGATGAAACTAAGAAACTCCCAAACACGAGCCACATACTGAGAGAGAGGAGTAACGAAATGACATCTTTCCAGGGTATGCTCCAGAAAATTTTTTCTTCATTCTTCCTCAGAGCTATGGAGTAAAAACGAATTCTAACTGTGTTGATAACAATATCCTACCAGAAGACCATCCAAGGTCTTTCAATTTCAGCAGCAAGAATTCACTTCCTTTCATTAAATCCAATTTGTCATATTGACTAATGTTCTCTCACAATGGCGATCCAAAAATTTCCTAATAGTATGACAAACATAACTCATCTCTAGAAGACCAGAAACCTAATACCATGCTTCAATCACAAACTTTATAATTCAACCAAAACATGAAACATCTAACTGTACTGAAAAACCGTACAAATTCATGTATAATGTAAGAAAATATGGATATATGAGAAGATCGAGAACAAATTAAACTAAAAGTGAACAATTATGCAGCTCGGAGAACAACCAATGTCAATGCACAAGGGATTACCAATGCCACACCCCATGTACATCTAACATGCCCATAAACACTATCAATTTGTCCAATTATCTACTAACAACCACATATAGTTTCATATCATAAACAAAATTAGCAGATACCAATAAAAAGCACCATAATCATTAGCTTAACAGTAGCAGTGGACAACTTGCAACTACATGACCGAAGATGTTACCACTAAATGATTTCGCTTTAACAATTGAAAGTACATGCAAAACAACTTAATTGGTTGCCACCTTTATCATAAATTATATGTGGTTTCAGGGAACAATCAACTTTATTAACTTACTGACATTTGTGTCAATCTGTTAGAGGAAATTTTAATCAATATGTTATTTTAGACCTCAAATCCTGAGGGCTCAACAAACAAAAGTTTTGACTTCTAAAAACATGATATAAGTCATGTCTCGCTATCTCTTTCTAGACCAAAAGTTTTGACACTGGAAGAGAAAACCATCACATACATGAAATATTGTTTATATGACTAATGTAGTTATAATAAATAAATACCATGTTAACATTCATTTAGTAGTCAAATTCAATGCAGGCAAATTTACTAACTAGCTAACACAAGCAAAATATACTGCCACATTTTGGAAACAGAGATAGAGGAAAAGAAAATTCATATACTAAAAGACACATTACAATTAATTTATCAAAATTTAAAAATTTTCATGACAGTAAAACGAAAGGCGCAGATGACGAAAGACAACTAACAAATACCTAGCAAGGCGAGTGTAAAATAGCTGCTTAGACAACTCGTTGCACTTCTCCACAGTCGGTGGCTCCTGAATGTATTGCTTGTTCTGCTCCAACAACTGTTTGTAGTAAGCCGTTCCATGATTGGCCACAAACTTTGACGCTTGACACGCCTTAAATTTAAACTGCTGCAATTTTGACGCCATCAAATTCTGCACCACATATAAAATATATAATAATTTTTTAAAAAAAATAAAATTACTAAGGTAACAAAAATGTTGCAATTAAAAACATCTAATTAAAACCCTAAAAATCAACATAAAAAGCTATAAACAACTAAATAAAAAAACTGTTGATAGTGATCGAGCTCTAATATTAATAGATCTGAGAAAGATAAGAGAATAGTGAGAGATGTTTTGAAATCAAATAAATTATAGATCGAAGCAAAGAAGGTGAATCCTAACTTTGATGAGAAAAAAGTAAAAAATAAAAAAGTGAGTGTTGTCGATTGAAGTCAAAGACGAGAAGGGGACTGATCTTGGCTTCTCTCGCCGCTTAATAGCTTAGCAGAGACAGATCCAGCGAGCTTTGTGGGATCCGATGACCTCTTTTGGGGGTTTTACTTGATGTTCCATTTTAGTTCATATAATTTATAGGGATCATTTTGTAATTTTAACGAATTGTTTCAATAAAGTTTAGTAATTTACATGGGTCATTTTATAATTTCAACGAATTGCTCCAATAAACTTTACGTAATTTACATGGGTTATTTTACAATTTCAACGAGTTATTTCAATTTTTTTAGGATAATTTTCCTAATTTAGTGGTAAAAAGAATAACTAAACAATAAGCCAACAAAGAAAAACTAGGTTAAAAAAAAAAGATTAAGCTTTTATTATTTTCACTCATATGTTTTACATTTTTAAAAGAATTAGTATTTTTTGCCATGAAATATGTAAAGTTTCTTCCATGTATATTAATATATCATTTGTTAATTAACATAAAATTTATTACTTTTAACTTTAATATTTAATTAAAATTTTGAAAAAATTCAATATAACCTTCAACTTATTTTTATTTAACAAATTAATTTATTTAATAAAAAGTTTTTAATGGAAGTAGAGCTTTCATTTATAATTTGAATAAATTTTTTAATATTATAAAAATGTAAAATAATAATTCAAAAATATAATAAACATTTATTTTTATTTTTGTCAATTCAAACAAATTTTCATATCTGTATTTCATGTATATTAATTTTTTTCACGGACGTTGCATGTGAATACTTTTTATAGATTAGACTATAAATAACATTCACAAAAATTATTTCTAAAAGAGATTATAATTTAATCTTTTTATTATTATTATTATTATTATTATTATTATTATTGTTGTTGTTATTTGAAAAATGGGATTCAAATGCTAAGGTGCTAATTCATTCTTAAATTAAATTGTCATTGAACCGCTCATTTTAATGTGTTAATGACATCACATTATTCGGATTAAAGGTTCACAAAATAATATATTCCAAGGTTAAAGTTAAATGAAATGAAATACACCAACCAAAAAAAAAAAAAAACAACTTTATGTTTCATCCTCACTGATTTCTCCACACAAAAAGGCTGTTCGGGCCTACTGCATTTGGGCGTTTCCTTCAATCAACGGCCATATATCAAGCACGAGAAAAGGCCTGATTTGTTTTGGGTCCTTTTGGTGGCCCATTTTTTACTCATGATACAAGTTATTCATATTTCTTTGTTTTAATTATGAATAATTTATTAAGCTATGTCATTAATTTTATTATTAAAATATTTTAAATGGGTCAATTAATAATTTGATACTTGAAAGTTTTCCCATTGTAACGAAACATGTAGGCTCATGGTTTTGTTTGACTTGCAACTAAAATTATAGTCATGGGAACATATAGTAATTAATAATTTATTCATTTCTCAAGTAAAACGATAATAAATCAAGGAAACCAATGGTTACATCATTATTTATTTTACTTTAAGCTGAAAATGTAGGGTTGGCTTTGACAAAACTAATGAGTTAATGTGTTAGCCCAGCTAGATCTAACTAGACCAATAGGAAATAAATTTTGACAAAGCTCCATGGTCAAGGCTTGCTTAAGAATGCAATTGATCCAAGTCCAGATAATAAAAAGCTTGAATTTTGAGTTAATTCAAAATTTGTAGTTCAAAATATGATTTAAGCTTAATCGATTTGTAATTTTTTAACTTGTATTAAATTTAAAATAGAAATTGAGGTATCATAATTTATGTAATTAATCTTAGGAGTTATTTCAAAAAAAAAAATCTCAGGAGTTCAATTTGAAAAAATAAACCTTTTTCTGATGTGTATATATATATATATATTATAAATATATAATTAATATTTATTTTAATGCATATTACAAAAATTATTACAAGTAAAAAATTCAAATAAACTCATAACTATTTAAATTAAATTAATTTGATAATTTGAGATATATTCAGCAATGATGAATTGAGTTTAAATAATTCTCATAATATCTCACATATATACAAGCTCATTTTCACCTCTGCTCAATCAAAATTATATCATATTTAATAGGAATTATTTTATTTAAAAAAAAAAACTTCCATATGTACACAAGCAACAATATTAATTTGTATATATTTATGATTTTGTATTTTAAACAAAATTTAATATTTGATATATTATCAATAAAAATTTTTAATTTCATAAATGATATTAAAATTTTAACACGTAATTTATATTAATTTTTAATTAATTTTTGTATATTTTTAAATATATTTTTAAAAATATATATCACCCTTTTAATTTTTATTTACAATATAAAAAATTTTATAAATTAACACATTTGATAATTTCTCTCCGTCTAATATCTATTGAAATTGAATCTGATTAACAAGGGAAGGAACTCTTTATTTCACCATCCAATCGATGTGGAATTCGAATCCAAAGCTTTTGCAACCGATAATAAGTCAAAACTTAGAATTCTTACCGTCCAACTGAATGTGATGGAAATGAAAGCTACTCCTTTCCATGGGGTCATGTCCATCACATTCATGGCAAAAGGTTGTATTATTGCAGAGATTTGAATGATTGGTTTCAATACCATCATTGTACCATGTAAATCTTGTTAACATCACATCACATCCCCATCCTTGCAATTATTATTCCATCAGAAATTGTCAGGTTTTGCCATCTGAATCGTTTCCTTTCCTTTCCTAAAACGAAAGGGTGATGGGGATCGTTATCGGCTGTGGACCAATGGCTCCACGGCAGCGCAGATTTCGCAACCAAAATAGCCTTTTCAACACTGCATGAATTAAGGGTGGTTGGGTGCCAGGATGGAAGAATTCGATGACTGTTTGATGATGTGATTACGTGGAATTATCATGGATTCATGATTGTATTCGTGAGACACGTGGGTTGATCTCAACTGCCATGATCGAACCAGCTGTTGGTACTTGCCTTACTTTTGACTAGGGAGATTGTTGAATCTGTCAATACAGCAGCTTTGCTTTACGAAGAAAATGGGCTCCTAACAACATTGTTTCACACGTGTGGCAACATATGCTCTTGCCCTTTCAAATTTCAATTATTATTTTTCTGTATGTAAAAAAAGAAGTGATGGGTTCTTTGTAAAAATATATATATATATATATATATAGTTTCCTATAAAATGTATTAATAATAAATTCATGATATAAGAATTCGAGAATTAAATGTGAAATTCGTTAGAATTCTACTAAAGTAACAGTGATAAAGTTGATGTCTGATGAAGGTTGGACCAACTATTTAAAAAAAAAAAAGCAAAAACATGTTGTTTGAAATTTATTAGATTGAAACAAAATATTAGCATTTTATCTTCTTTCAAAAACTAGAGTAATTAATGACCACTAATATTCATAAGGCTCATAAGATTGATGCTTAATTTGTGTAAACCATTCTATCAATGGGACTGGCCTCCTTTTTTGCATTTAATCAACTATAACTAGATTATGTTAGCATAATGTATGATATTTTTTTGGCCAATAAGCATAATGTATGATTAGATAAGTATAATTTCATATAGCACATACATGTTAGTTGTCAATGAGATGTTTTGATTAATACATAGATAACAAATCGAGGTCTAATCACTATAATAATCATATATAATCATTCCCAATAATCTCGGTTGATTTTTTATTAACATTAAACGGTATGATTAATTACAATGGCCCATTGGTTCGTTGTTTAGTTAAGATCATACCCAAATTTTTATAGAATTTAATTGCATAAAATATTTTATCTAATATATTTTATGAAAAAAGTTTAAAAGAGAGGAAATTACCTTATTTTAAAATCAAGACATATTATAAATTTTAACAATGATTTGCATTTGATTTGTAGGTGGTCCATTAAAAAGAAAAAACAAGAATCGAATTTAAATCTTATAAGCAAAATATTCTAATCAATCTCATTGACTATCTAATAATTATTATTACATCAATATAAATTAAGCCATAAAGTAGTATCTCCAAAGCATCTAATTATTAGTACATCTTAATCAACCTTAGTGTTATTGAGTATGACTTGATTATGACAATCGATAGGATCAACTGAAATATGTGTTGGCCCCAAAGGAAGAGAAAATGAAAAAAAAAAAAAAAAAAAAAACTCCAATGTCAAAGGTTCAAAGTCCAGCTTTCCAACCTAGCTAGCCATGATAATAGTTTGTCGTTGGCTGCTACTTTATTCGTATTGTGATCTTTCAAACCAACATTACTTATACAGCTAACTTAATCATTTGAAGAGAATGTAGTGAATGATAAGCCAACTAATGCATTTGAAAAATATTTATGCGTTTTGCTTAAGTAAATGCTCAATAGATTTTCAGTTGAACCAGCACTTGTTTAATTAATTTGGTGGATTATATCTCGAGTAGCCAGCCTGCACTTTCATATATATATATATACAAGCTTAAAAATCTAAGAAAATGAAAACATGAAAAAGCTTGTTAGAATGATTTAGAGCTGTAAAACCCTGGAAACAGTGTCGTTATCTATTTCTTCAGGATTTTGTCAAAATTTTCTTAAAATTTCAAATGCTAATATAGGATAGGAAAACAAGTATAACTGGTTTTCTTCATAGTATTAAATAGGATATGCAAGCTGTCACATCATACACATATGGGTGTGCGTACGTTTTTTGCATGGTTTGGGTGCAACAAGTAATTGCCACATCACTCGGCCTAAAAAACGACGTAGCATAGCAAGAAAATAAAAGTTATACCAATCCTCGTGGCCTAAGAACTTTTCTTATCATAAATTTTTACCAAAAAGAAAAAAAAAATCAAACGTAACTTTTCCAATATAGAGAAATAAATGCATTTGTTTTTAGGCATGGTTATTTTACAAGAATTTAATGACAAATTTCGAGTATATATAGTATGATTAGAATTAAAAATATTTTGATACTTTATCAAAAGATCACATGATTGGCAACACATAATCATGATTCCATTCCACTGTAGAACCTTTTAAATTGAATTTCTTCCTTGGTTTGGTGTCCAATTTGATTAAGTAATTACTTTTTTGGAAAAACTTGGTTGTATTTAAGTAGCTAAGAGTTCAAAAGCAACACATTTCTTGCTTGAATTAAATAATGAACAAGTCAAAGAGAAAATAAATTAATCAAAGACGAATAGTACATAATTTATAAGTAGTTTAGTTGACAAGAGAATGCAACAACAGAAGTTCTTCCAATTAAATAAATGGAAGAATTTCTAGGGAACTTGCTTCTACCAGAAGCAAGAAAACAAGAACATAATCACGTACACCTAAACAAGAATATCAAAATCACTTTTTGCTTTACACTTTAATGACACAAACCCAATTCTTCAAACGGTCAATGTCGTCCAAAGAAACTAAATGGGTAAAAACCCCACTAAAAACTGGTGATTATAATATTACTGATTTACTGAGAATAATATTATTACTAGGTTTATTTTCTCTTTCTTTGTTCCATGAATTTATGTATTCTTTCCAGTGCAACTTCTAGCGTCTGCTCACTCATGTTTGCAAAACAGACCCTGAACCACCCTGGTTCAGAGCAATGGCAGGAAGATCCTGGTGATATGTTTAGTCTCACTTCATTTAAGATAATCTTCCAAAGAGTCAATTCGGCTTCTCTTGTAGGTTCCTCCAACAATGGACTCAGATTCATCCAGCAAAATAAACCAGCATTGCCTTTCAAACACTCGATCCCGGCATTTTTCAACCCTTTAATGATCATGTCATATCTCTTGCTTAGTCTTTCTCTGTTCGTCTTGATGTACTTTTCAGTGAATTCCTTGTTAGACAACATGCAAGCCAAGAGATGTTGTGTTTGAGAAGAAATCAAGGTGAAGCTAGACATCCTCCTGGCAGTTGTGACAACCTTGTCATTATAGGAATATATTGTTCCGACTCTAAAACCTGGAAGGCCAAGATCTTTAGAAAGACTGTAAACAATGTGAACTCTTTCAGAATTTTTGTAGTCACGAGTTTGAAGAATTTCTGCAACGCTTATGAATTCGGATGATGAGAAGGTTGATCCACAGTAAATTTCATCCGAGACAAGGTGGATATTTTTGCGTGTGGCGAAATCGAGAATCTCTTCCAGGACTGATCTTTGGATTGTTGCACCTAACGGGTTTGAGGGGTTTGTTATCAGTACTCCTCTCACTTTGAAGTTCATGGATTCCGCACATTGATAGGCAGCTTCCAGAGCTTGCGGTGTAACTTGGAAATTGTTTGAGCTATCGCAATGGATTGGGACAATTTTCACACCGGTCCTCCACCTCAGATCTCTGTCAAATCTGGAGGACAAAAAAGTTCAAATTAGCACGGGTTTAAAAATATGAAGGAGTGAAAGCATGGGAAATTGACTTCCAAGAAAAAGTTTTTATCCGAACTTTTTCTTACCCTGGATAGTATGGAGTTGGAACCAGCAAAGCATCCCCAGGATCAGCCAAAATGAATGTTAAAAGCTCATTGGCTGCAGTTGCACCTGCAGTTAGAACTATTCTATCAGGGTCGAATTTTGCTCTTCCCCCTCTAATTTGCTCCATGAAATTTGCCATAGCCTGTGTGCAAGAATGGAGATGGTTTAATCGGTTTGCAATATACTATTAGCTACTTAAGGACTTTGTGCCTATATATGAAAACCTGTTGGTAAAAATAACAATCTCAAGGTTCAAGGAAAGTACCTGTCGGAAAGATTTTAGTCCATGGTAGTCTTGAAACAAAGCATTTTCTCTGAAGCCAGGTGCTCCTTTTCCCCAGCTAGATCCTTCCGAATGCTCTTCCAAGTACTTCTCCAATAAATCAAATGAAACCTATTCGAGGAACAAGAAAAATAATAATATTACATGCAAATTCTAATTGCTTCTTTTTTGCTGTTGTTAGTAACTGCTTTTGCCCTGACACTTACTTGATTTTCAGCCAGTCCCATCTGTATGACCCCTGACTGGTTGCTTGATTCATGGTAAGGGTTTTCATCGTATGCTTTCCAGCCTGCAAAGTATGGAGAGTCTTCTCCATGAGTTTCAGAAACTGCAACCTTTGATAGTCCAACAGAAGGTTGCTCAATCTCTATAGCCATGTCTAGCTTTCTAGCTGAATTAGCAAAGCTTTTTCTGCGAGGGAGCGATTGTGTATGAAAAGAGGAAAGGATAAAGAAGAGAGGAGAGAGATGAAAGAGGAGTACTGAGAGAAGAGAGCTTCAAGGAGCTGAATATACTGATGAATGAAAACTTTGTTAAAGACTTGCCTTTATATATAGGGTCCAAGAAGCCCCTTGGCACAGAAAAGAAGGCCTTACAATTTGCCTGGTTCTTTCAGAAGATAGAAAATAAAAAAAAAATTCATGATTGATTCTGTACTGTAAGCAAAATCAAAGGTCACCTTTTGCAGATAGTATTTATCTCCAGTGACAACTGTTAGCTGCTGTCATCTTGTCAAATCTTTCTTTATCTCAATCTCCATGAGATCCATACCAAATATGGTGGTTGATATAGGAAAGTTGGTGTCCATTTAGGCTTTAATTCTCAAATTTCTTTTCCCTTAGAATAGACAAAGGTTCTTATCTGCTTTATAATACTATCTTCAAGTAATTACTCTCTTGATATATATTCTTTTACTAATTTCTCTTTAAATAATTGTGATTGAGTTCCCTTTGCAAGTCCCCACTTCCTAATCTATGACTAATCAAATCCCTGTTGAAAAAACAAATGAAACTTCCTCAGTGAAAATCAAATCTTACATGAAGAATGCATATATTACAACACAATTATGTGGAGAGATCTAAGAGTAGTTAAGTTTTGATGACCTGACAAAGATCCCAATTTACTGAAGATTAAGATTCTGATTTGCAAACGAAGTTGGGACAAAACAGAAGCCCTGAGAAGATCTGTATATGGCCCCACTGATGCATTTGTTCCAAGCAGCAGAACTTATTACTTCTTCAGGGGTTTATTGAGACATACATGGATTACATTATGCTTTCCAAGTTAATTAACTTTGTAAATGGCTAATTAGATTCATTAATTATATAAAATGACTTTCATTAATCACATGTGTGCTTTTGTTTTTGTCATAAATATGTAGCTATATGCCTACATGCAAGGGTTTAGATATTTGTCAAGATTATGCTTTCTTTTTTAAAAGAAAAAGTTTATAGATTTCAACTAACGAACGTAGAGAATAAACAACATCCTCATAACAAAAACCAAATAGAAAGAATATGCTTTATTTGTATATGATCATCAACGTGGGGCTCGAGATCATCAGAATCCATGTGCAGGGATTCAAGAGCATGAGATTCGCAATTAATAGATTGCATTTACTACTGTACCAGTGCAAATATAGAGAACATGAAAGGAGTGGTTGATGACGACTGTTCCTCGACTAGGGACAAGTATCGAGCAATGGTCTTCATCAGATCATGGAAATTTCAATTTTTATATTTGTTTGTTTTTAATCATGGGAATTGGAATAATGGGATTATTTGTGTTATGGGCAGTTACAGTATTATTTTCTCTGTTGGCAAAGCCCCTCTTAGTTAAACAGAAAATAATTCATTCTTGAACTGTCAACTGACAGGTTACCCTGAAGGTTAAGAACAAGGATGCTTCGCAGTAATCAAATCACCTATTCTAGAGTAAACCCCTTTCTTAAATGTGTGGGAGTCACCAAAACCAGCTTCCACCACATCAAATTCAAGAGATAAAATATGAAGAACAGATCATAAAATAAATAAAACGGTACTGTCAGTGTGGTAGGTAACTCCATGCTGAGGAGCAGTCTTATCAACTAGTAATGTACTTTAAAGTCTAATTGCTTAAATTTGTTCTGCTTTAGTGGAATCCAACTGATAAACAACTGGATATATGGAACTATGGAAGCACCCCAGAAGCTGGTATTTCAGAAAGGAAAATGACAGGCCAATTGGCTTTATAAGGAACTTACAACTGGACAGCCCTCAATTTCAAAGTTTATATATATGTATATATTTATTTATTTATATATAAGACACTAATTTAATTTAGTACTAATAAGTTTTTAGGATTAAGGAGATCAACTACGTTTCCGAGTGGTCAGCACTCAGCAGCTGTGTCAACATCATAAAATTAAGGGCCATATTTGTCACCTCATGCATGCTTTGAATTTAGACTAGAAAGTGAAAAAAGGAACTTAGTATGTTCTTCATATATCTCTGCATCTGATGTTGCTGCTTCACCAGAAGCTAGCCTTGGCAGATATTACCTTCAATTGGTACCACCGACATGCAGTTAAAATGTCAGAAATCATCTATCAATCAGGTTATAGTCTTTCTGCATATATATAATTGAAGGAAAACTCTTCACCATTGAAATCCTGAAAGATTTACAGATTCTCTGCTAATTGTTAGAACAAAATTAGAATTGAGTAAACTTAACCTCTAAGAGTAGGATCAGACCAAACAACCTGGAGTTATCTCAATGAGGTAAGCCTATGATTATAGATAAAAAGGGGTGTGTGCATATTTGCTTCCCTATTAGCAGGCATGAATCTTCTTGGAAAGATATAATTTCAATAAAGACATGCTACGTCGGAATCTTTATTCTAATCATGCTAAGATCATGTCAATAGAGAGAGAATTAATTATAGAATATTGGGTAGTTCAGATAATAATTAACAAGCACAAACTCTTTGGCCATGTAAGAAATAAGGTTTTCCAATAAGATTACATGTATTTGCTTCGACAAATATTATATATATATATATGTTTTTTTTTTCTTCCATGATATTTGAGTTGTCGAAATTTGAATTTAATTAATAAAATTAAAAATTTAATATTTTATCAACAATAGATCACAAACCATTGATCTCTTTTTTTTTGCTTTCCATTCATTATTAAAATGTTTTATTTTTTCATTTTCGTTTTGTTTAAATATGCATTTCATGCTTACTTAATATAGCCTTTTTTTATAGTATATATATATATATATATATATAAGATTTTTAGCGTGTTTGTACGAACACGTTTTGTGAACCCCATATACGCATGCAATGTTCTTTAAAACATGCTCATCATTGTCTTCATATTGGAAATTTCCTGTTGATTGATGCGTGCAAAATTTATTATATTTAGCCCTACATATTGTACTACAGCAAAGATGTTCTTTGACTTTTCTTTTTTTTGTTAAATATTTCTTGATATGTTGCTATAGTTGTAAAAAAAGCATATAAATATGATCCACCGGCATCACATGGATTTTTTATTTTTGACTACTAATAATACATGATCTAGACTACTCGAAATAATTCATTACTAGCACTTTGTACTTATCATTTTCTATTCATATCATATTAATTTTGTCTTCAAAAGAACTTTTCAAACATTCTAAAATTTATGATTTTAATTTGAAAATTTTGAGCTCGAAATCTAAAATAAAATGAGTGTGATTTATGAGACGAAAAAGAATTGTTCTAAATATATAGCTCAAATTCATACGTACCAAAAACATGGTTAAATCACTACTTTTCCCACTTTCTTATAACATGTTATAGACTACTTCTTTTCCCCATATAAATGAATTATTTTTTTTAAATGAGTACTTAGCAAATAATTGCAACACATGAGCCAAGAATTGCCTTTTTCATGAAAGAATTTTCTATATCTCTCCTCCATGTGCTTTCTCCGCCACTCTCCCTCCTCACCTCCCCGCGCAGTATACATTATCTTGACTTCATTATTGTTGGAATATTGATGATTTGTTATTAACAATTTTTTTGCTTCCCTAAATTGTGGTCCTTGAACAGCCAACAAGCCCCACTCAGGCAGCAGCATTGATCACGATCATCCATACATCATTACATTGGAACTCTTGAAATAGGGTTTTATATATACATAGTCATATGTGTTTAGACTTTAGATGATGACCTCGTAACTTGATGAACCATACACATGCTCTGCCAACTTGATATATTATAAGTAGTAAATTTACTGAACACCTTGGAAAGAAGGCATGAAAATTGCGTCACTTTCTTCACCTTTGAAACCTAATCAGACAACATCGATAAAGGATAAGAGAACTTCTGTTTTAAGGACTTGTTCGGAGCAGCAGTGAGATTGATACAAGTCTTACATATTAATGTTGAACATTGTTTCTTCACCATTGTGATCACTATGTTGCAAATAAGTCGATAGATGTAGTATGAAGTAATCAGTCTCTCTAGTTAGGTAAGTTAATTGTACAACAAGGACTATTGGAACTTGGAAGGGAAAAAAACAAGGAAAAGGAAACTATATAACTTTAATCAACTTTTTTCAAGATTTTTTTTGACCGTAGGGTATCTTAACTTTCAAATGTCATGCATCATCCTCCCACCAAGTTAGGACCACATTTTGTTATCTAATACCATGTTGCTCTACTTTTCAAATTAAGAGACTCGTTATAGATGCTATAAATTAAAGAGGTAATTGCTTAAGAATTCGATTATAAAACATATATTTTGATACAATAAGAGAACTCTCACCATACTCTCAATGAAGCTCAAATCTATAAAAAAACTATTCATTGACTTCACAAGAGCATTTTAAAGAGGCAATTTAACAACGGAAAGAATGGACAAGGAATATCAACCAGCTCACGGAGAGTCATGCTGATGAGACAAATTTCAAAGAGAAAATTTGATTCCCATTTAATTATCATTTATGACCATAAATTGGTAAGATGAAATGACAGACAATCTCCAGGAATCTAGCCCCTGTGCTCCAGTGTCCCTTAATCTGCCCAAGGAAAACTCGTGTCCTTGTTCTCCACCATGTAATTACTAATTAGACACCTACCTCTATGACCATCACATGTTAAAAAAATCCAAGCAACATTTTAGATTTTAGACAGCTCAATGGAGCAGCTTTGGTTGGTCCTGCTCACTCCTAATTTCCTTGCCAAATATGGCTACAATATAAGAATCCTAAATTCATTGCCCACCGACTAAAACTGAGCACTAAAAATGAAATTATAAAGAAAAAGCAATTTCCTTTTATATAGACTCTTGGGCTAACAATATTTAATTCCTTGTTCATACAGTCTCAAGAGTCTCAGCTTCTTCGCCACTTAATAGTTTACTTCTTATATTGACATTAACTAGAAAGCCATTTGAAGTTGTTAATTATTAAGATTAGTGATACTAATTACAATGTTTTTTAACTTGACATTGTCTCATCTGAAACTAACACTTCATGCTTTATCAATAAACCACACGATTATTGGCATACTAATAACAATGTTATAAGTTGCATATTTGTTTGAGTTTATAGTTTGAATAATTAATTTAATACAATCTACCTACTATATATTCTATATTCACACACATTTAATTCGGTAATCTTTGGAGATTTCATACCAAATCATGATCAGATTAATTAGATTCTTAACAAATTTTTTTTATTGTAGTTTCCTAACAGTTTTGCTAAGATTTTGTTTCTAATTGCATTTTTAAGTTAATTATTCTTGTTTTTGACTTCTAGGTTTATGCTTAATTACATCTGCAAAGGAGCGTAATGGCTTATTTATAAAGTTTATCATGATTTAGGTAGTAATCAGTAGGTTATCAAACCATACATATAACAAACACTTTTCTAATCTCATGCATGTAAAAAGGAGGTTATTTCTTATTAACATCACCCAATTCATATCTTTATTTAAATATTCATTATAAGCAGTTGCATAAAGGAAATAGTGTTTTCATTGTGATGATATCGAATCGAAATTAATTTATAAGTGATTATACTAATTTTGCATAATTAAAATTATACCATCATTTTTTTTTTTTTTTTTTGAGAACCAACAAACAAGAAGAGTTCTTGAGGTTAAAGTCCAACTAATATCTTCCCTTATATTACAAGCTGCTACTAGTTTTCTAACAAAAGGCCCAAACAAACAAAGAGCCCAATTAAAGCCCAATCTGTGCCCGTATTCCCAAACTGCGTCGTATTGATAGTGGAATTTTTTTTTTAAAAAAAAAGCCAAATGTTACTGGCACCCTAGTTCAGTTGTAACTAAAACGACGTCATTTGAGATATTGCACACACTGTTTTTAATTGTTTTTTTTTTTTGTATCTTTACAAATTTGTTTTTTCTTAAAAAAAAAACTTTCATCTCTCTAAAATATCCAACAAGACCCCACACCAACCAATATTTAAATTGGAGCAAAAGCAATTGCCCGCACTGGTGCTCACCTTTCTCCCAAGCTCAATCCAAAAGCCCTCACAAAAACCCTAGTCATCTGCGCCTCCCCTCCACAAAACCCTAATCATCTTAAGAAAAAAAATGGGTCGCCGCAAAGGCAACAACACAACTCAAACCTCGACGAGCTCTTCGAACAAATTCGAAGGAACCAAGATTCGTTTCCAAGACCCCGACGACGAGGAAGCCGCTACTGACAGCTCCAATCTCGACGATTCAATCGTTGCCGTTGATAAAGCTACTGAAGATGTCTCCATGGGAGAACCCGACGTTTCCTTTGTTGATTGCGACGGCGATGATGATAAAACCAGTGCTGATTATTACTTTGATTCGTACTCTCACTTCGGTATTTTTTGTTCTTCCTCATTATATTTTAAGATTTAGTTTTTGAAGTTTGTATTTTTTTACTGTTATTTGTCTTGTTGATTAGAAAACTAGTGAGGGTTTTTGATTGTTGGCTTTAACTTTGCCTATGAAGCTTCAAATGGGAAGAAAGTTTTAATCTTTGCAAAAGTTAGCTCAATAAGTTGTTTAAATCTAAGTAATTTCTGTTTTATGGTTATATGTTTATGGGATTAGCATGTCGGTATTAGATGGTGCCAGTGAGCACTTTCCTTTCAAGCTTATTTTGATTTTTTTTTTTTTTTTTGTGTATGCAGGTATTCATGAAGTAAGTGTGCAGCAACTTGGATTATTGAATGCCTGGGAATTTTCTTGTTTGGTTATTGTTGACTTATTTATAGAATAGTTTTTGCTTGGGGCACCATTGGTTTATGTTATTTAGGGTGCTGAATATCTTTGAAGGTTTGGTTGTAATTGTGCTGTTTGGTTAAGCTCACTCATGAATTAATGTTTCGCACTTGCTATCCCAAAAATATTGTAATTTTGCACTTACCCTTTTAGTCAGTTTATGGAAATTACTTCTGCATTAATATTCTTGGTTACCGTGGAAGAACTTGGTGGGGTTGAATAATTGTTTCACTTCTTTTTTGTTTGGAAAAATGTTTTTATTCTATGTTAACCTGACAGTCCCTCTATTTCAGGAAATGCTCAAGGATGTAGTGCGAACCAAGACTTATCAAAATGTTATTTATCAGAATAAGTTTCTATTCCAGAACAAAATAGTTCTTGATGTGGGAGCTGGAACTGGAATTTTGTCCCTGTTTTGTGCAAAAGCAGGGGCAGCACATGTTTATGCTGTATGTCTTTCAGTTTTCCCATTTCCTTTTTATTTTTGTTTTATGTGTTGTTAATAATCTATCTCACCAAATTCATACACTCCTGTTGTCTACCCTTATTTTCCTAATGTGGTTAATATTTTCCCATTCCTAGGTTGAATGCTCTCATATGGCTGATATGGCTAAACAAATTGTAGAAACAAATGGCTTGTCTGATGGTGAGGTCATTAAAACTTGTGGTGTCTTCTTTATTGCTTCCTCTATTTCAGCTCAAGGAATTTTTTTATTGTTACAGTTGTCACAGTTTTGAAAGGAAAGATTGAAGAAATCGAGCTTCCTGTTGCAAATGTAGACATTATTATATCAGAGTGGATGGGCTACTTTTTATTGTTCGAGAATATGTTGAATACAGTGTTATATGCCCGTGATAAATGGCTTGTAAGTTGCTGCTATCATTGATACTATAAATGTCCACATTTGAAATATTTTCATGGTTGGAAATATGTTTTGTACTTCATGTAATAGAGAGTTCCACTATGAGTCAATTATGTGTATGCTGTGTAAAACTGATATCCAACATGGAAGACATGCATGTGTAATGCACATACAGGTGGGAAATTCAGCAGAATGTGCTTGGTATGGCACATTTATGGAGCTGTATGTGTTAGGTATGGCTTGGGTTTTGTTGTGAAGACAGGTTGCCTTCTGTGGATTGTTTCTTGTTATATTATATCTAGTGGTACCATTATCCTACCAATCTATAAATTTAATATGACAATAGCAATGCTGCATGGTCTTATATCCTTATCTTCATGACCTTTCCTACCCTTCACTTGCTAGCATATCAAGCTTTTTTTCTTGGTTGGAGGCTTATAGAATGGCAGCTAGCTGTTCTTTGGTTAAACTCTCTAAACATGATTGCTTACATTCTCTCTGTTGCTTACTATGATTTGCACAAGGTGGATTGTAAATGGAGGCTTAGGTTCCATCTATAACTGTTAATTGATTTGAGACTTTAACTCCATCCTCATATCAACTTCTCTTGAGCAATTTTTTCCTTGTGCTTTCATGTGGCTAAGAGGCTGGGCCTTTTAAATTTATTTTTACTCATTTTCTCCTGAAAGCAAAATTTTGTTGGTTTCTTATATGCTACATTCTTTTCATTCAATTTTCTTATTCCTTTGCCTGTGTCAGGTCAATGATGGAATTGTGCTACCAGATAAAGCTTCTCTTTACTTGACAGCAATTGAGGATGCAGAGTACAAAGATGACAAGATCGAATGTGAGCATAATAGACTGCTAAATTGATATTATTTCATGGTATTCATGTTCATTTGTGGTTGTGGGCTTTCAATCTGTTTTTCTATTATGGTTAATTGCAATTTGACTTTGGTGTTCTTATATATGCCCATCTTTTTCTTCATGACATCATCTTCCTACAGTTTGGAATAATGTTTATGGCTTTGACATGAGTTGCATCAAAAAGCAAGCTATGATGGAACCTCTTGTTGACACGGTTGACCAGAATCAAATTGTGACGAATTGCCACCTTCTAAAGGTGAGAAATGCATAACACAAGCAAAACTATGTGTGTGTATATATCATTGGTTATCTATGTATACAGGCTAGCTGGAAATTCTTTGACATAATTTATTGGAAATTTATCTGCATTATTCATTTTGCTTTTCTAAATTCAGACAATGGATATCTCCAAGATGGCTCCTGGGGATGCTTCTTTCACTGCACCTTTTAAGCTTGTTGCACAACGTGATGATTACATCCATGCTTTTGTTGCATATTTTGATGTATCATTTACCAAGTGCCACAAATTGATGGGCTTCTCTACAGGTTTGTATCTTCATTCTTTCCCCAATTCCATTTTCATTCTAGCCTTTAGATTACAAAATTTTCTATCCTTAGTCCTTTCCATCTTATCTGCAAATGCCTTTCCATCTTATCTGCTAATACAAGGCGTTAAGCAGCCTAGAAGTACTTTTACCCTTGCAATACGATAATGCATCTGCTAAACCCTGATATTTCGTGCAATTAATCTATGTTTGTGAATTCTTCATATTAAAACAAAATGCAGGACCAAGATCGCGAGCTACCCATTGGAAGCAAACAGTCCTGTACCTAGAGGATGTGCTAACCATTTGTGAAGGGGAGGCAATAATTGGTAGCATGACTGTTGCACCAAACAAGAAGAATCCCCGAGATGTCGATATAATGGTCAAATATTCATTGAGTGGTCGACGTTGTGTGATTTCAAAAGTTCAATTATATAAGATGCGCTGATTTTGTTGGAGTATTCATCACGACTAAGTATCTGCAACATATCCATAATTTTATGGCATTGGCTAAAGAATGAAGCTGCCGCTCCTATTTAATATATCTGTATTCGAGTAGTCCTTAATTTCCTTAGAATGAGACGCTTATAAATTGGTTCTTTCTTCTAGAATTGAATTACAAGATCTTTCGCTATTTATAATGCCAAGATTTTTTTGTGATATTTAACACGTCCTGAATCCTTGTTCTTGCTCTTTTTATGTTAAACTGAAAAATGATTCTCTTCTAATTGAAGGAATGAAGTAAGAAGCAAGATCTGAACCAAATAATGGCGATGATGAGTGGTGGAACGAAAAGTGTTCAAACTGTTAATCTATTAACTTCTGGGACAAGTTGGAATGTCAAAATCCAGTTAAATTGATGAGAACTTGAGCAGCATCATTATATAGCTTAAGTTAATTCCTATGTCAATCAAGTTACAAGCACTATTTATAGTAACCAATGCGAAATGCCACTTTCTAAATCCATGCGGTTGAATATCGAGATCTGGGTTTGTTGATACGAGTCTTGAAGTCACATCGTTACTAAGCCGAAGGCATAGGAATTGGGAAGTGAGTGTTGGACCACAGCACAACAGCGGGTCTAATTCCAGAACACTTCTTTATATTCATTTCATAATTTAAATCTATTTTACAGCCAGTCTGTAGTGGAATTGTGAGGCAAAGCATGCAATGTACAATAAGCCACAACCTTAAAGAGAGAAGATAAAAGGAGAGACGTTTCAATAGATTGTGTATTGAAATCATCAAAATAAATGACGTTGCTACTTGTAATACTCGTCAAGAGAGTTCGATGGCTGAAAGGAATCATCAAAACTTCCCAAAGGAAGGGCAAAGAAAAGCTTATGAAAAAGGGGATATGCGTCCTTGATTTTCTACTCAATCAATGAGTAACAAAGCATATTAATACATTGGAAGAGAACAAACGAGTATAATTCATGTCCTAAAGCTCTGCCTTGCTGGCCTTTGAACGGGCAGCTTTAACTCCTCTCCACCACCTTTTTACCCTGATGGCGACCTTGGTTGCATGTTTCTTCAATGTTTCACTTGCATTTTTTATTCCTTTGCTGATCCTCTGTTTCCAATCACCTTTTCTACTTTCTTTCTCTCTCAAAAGTTTTCCCTGAGAAAAACAATCAAATCATAATCAAAACAAGAATCTTACTAACACTTTAATCTGCTGTGGAGTTTTGATACGTACCAAATTAGATGGAAATTTTTCCTCATCATCATCATCATCTTCTTCATCATCAGCATCTTCACCCAAATTCTTCATGTTCATCAGCTCCTCCCTTGAATACATTTTCATGCTGGGTGCCCCTGGCATACCCTGAATCACAATAAAATTAATTAAACTATATCAGATATTTACGTCAGGAATGCAAAGCATAATGTTTAGCAATAAATTTTTAATCACCTCCATGGATCTTAACATCTTTTCCATTTCAGCCTCTTTAGTTGGTTTGGGTAAAAAAGGTTCTCCTGGAGTCCTATCCTGTATGTATCAAAGAGACCAAATCAGTCTGATTGAGTTAATAAAGTTTATGCATCTTTTCCTCACACCAGATGTAACAGATAACCTCATCAATGGAGAATATAATACAACATTATAGCAAGAAGCTCCTTGTTAAAAAACAGTTGTTCACATGAGAGGCCTTCAGAGTTCTGAAGACACTATTGTATCCAAGTAAAATATTAGATAAAATAAGTGGAAAAGGACACAAAATATTAGATTCATATTATACAAATTATGCAGATTCAGTTCAAAAAGGACTAAAGCGACAATCCTATTCTTTTCCTCCCAGCAATTCACAACAAAAACATAAATTAGTACTTCGGAATGTACTACAACAAAAGGACATAGCAGAAAGTAAATGAAATCTATCAAAGATAAATAATGCTACAGAAGTAATGCTTCTAAGGTTCTTGAAGATGAATCATTTATGAGATTCAATTACAAAAATGGGGAATGAACAGTAATCATCAAGCACATGCGATTATTAGCCTACTGAAAACAGCAAGAAGGATTGGGTGACTCAGCCTCATTTAACCAAAGTTCAGATATTCCCACAGGATAGTAAGTGTCCACCTTATTCAGGGTTAGTGCTTTCTTAATATTAGTCAGAAAACTACACTTAATGATCAGAAAGCAGTACAGAATTGCAAATCCAATTACCTTTGGTAGTGGGGGAGGCTTGGTTTTGCATGTCTTAGTCAGATCTTTACATAGATAATTCACCAGTGACTCCATGTCAGGCTTGGACGTATATATATACTCAGCAACATCAGTATCAGAATACCCCATAACCTGAAAAAACATAAACAGCCATATGCTTAACAGTCTCAGATCACAAAAGTTAAAACCAAAGACCAAGTTTGATGGGCTGAATGTTTAGATCATACAACAATAGATCAATCCAGCTCTAGCGGGAAAAAATGCAAAAAAATTTCACATGCTCATGGAGAGACAAGACTGCATTAATCGATCTAAAGAAAAATAAATCAGAATTCTAACCTCCTGACAAGCTCGCTCGATTGTCTTACACTCTGAATTGCAAATCCCTTCAGCATCCTGTTCGATTAGCTGTAAAAAGATGACAATTTCATGAATCAGAATGGTAAAACTAATTGAACTGATACACCTATTTTTTTCAACAAAGAAACTCCAACAAAGCAGAAAAATCTTAAAATCTCACAACACAAAGGAATTCATTCATCTTACCTCTAACTTATCTCCTGTTTCTACAATATCAATCTTCAAAATCCAATCAGCTTCTTCCTTCTTCAAATTACAAACATTCTCCGCAATCTCAATGATTTGATATTCTGAGATCTAACACCCCAACAAAACCAAACAGAAAAACAAAAATTAAAAAAAGCTACCCAAAACAGAACTTAAAGAAAGAAAATTTAAAGAATAAAAAGCAAACCCAGATAATAAAAAGACCTTCTTGGGAGAGATCTCGGCTTGTTTCGTTTGTACGTGTTGGTATAACTGTGATGCCAGCTTCTCACAAACTTGACATTTGATGTAAGGAACGTCCTCTTTTCGAGAAACTGCAACTGGTTTCTTGGCACATAGGGAGACAGGCAACCACGTTGACCATAACAAAACCGAAACTAAAAGAACTAAACTTTGCCCAATCTTTCCCATTACCTTCTCGTGATTGTAACAAACGATCAGCTGAACTGAAAGAGTTGTTAAAAAGGATCCTTTTATTTTTCAATGAACTGATCGAAGTGCACTTCAAAATATAGAATTGATACGTGTTTCGCTGCATCTGATTGGTTGCTTTGAGGTTTTAAAAATATGGGGGCTCTTTTTTTCAACCAATAGGGTTTGAGAAAACACGTCGTTCTGGTTCTCTAGTGATTTTAATTGAACCCATTGAAGACTTCGCTGACTTAATTTCTCTGGTTGATCATAGCCAGCCAAACCTCATATTGGGGGCCCACTCACTTATTCTTACGTGGCAGAAATTTGAAGAACTGTATGAACTGGAGAGAACGAAACTGGAGGATATCGGGAAGACTCAGCCCACCTAAAACCCTAAATTGATAGCCTGATAAGTTGAGCGTTTAGGAAAATTAGGGTTTAGCTTTTGAAACCTTCTCTTGTCCTAACCCTAAACAGAACTTAAAGAAAGAAAATTTCACAAATTTTAGTTGGTTTTTAGCTGACGCCATGGATTTATCACTGGAAGATTCTGCGACTACCGCAAAACCCAATTTTCTGATAGGTGAAAACTACCAACTTTGTCTAATACAATCCCTCGAAGACCTTTTAGCTGAAACCCACAAAGAAACCCCAAAATTTTCTGATTTCATTGATAAGTTCTACTATTTAATGCACGCAAAGATTGACCCACCGCTGGAATCCATTTGGGTATACTCTGCTTTGTCGTTTCGAAGCCATAATTTTGGAAGTAAAGATCCTTTGAATGGATTATCTATCATAAAGGATCTCTTTCAGTTAGTTTCTTCGTGTTCAAGTCCCTCTAATTCTTTCAAAAGCATAGCATTAGTTGCTCCAATTGTTTTTGAGGTTTATAAATTAGTTGTGGAAGTACTAGGGAAGGACTTGGGTTCAAAGAGAGAGAAGACAGTGAATAAAAAGGTGAAGTGTTTGGTTGAAGTGATTATTGGCTATATAAGCATGTGCTGTTGTAAGGATTTGAGTAAGGAAAGTGAAGGTATTGATGTGAATTTGGTAATTCCGGTTGAGGATTTGGTTTCTATTTGGATGGATAGGAATGTAAATTTACAATCCTTTTTCCCTCTGGTTGGTGATGAAATTTATAGAATGAATAGTAAAAGAGGTTTCGATGTTAATTACTTGGCTGGTGTGGTTATGGTGGAAGCATTTTTGTTGAAACTTTGCTTGGATTTGAGGCTTGGGACTGAAGGGATGGTGCTGGAGAAAGAGTTGAGAAGTTGGGCGGTTGCTTCAATTTCCAGCTTTCACAACTTTTATTTCTTCGGTTAGTGCTCTGTACTTTCTGTCCGAATTTGAATTGTTATTGATATTATTCTTTTTTTTTTGTAATCCCTGTGGTTGTCTTTTAGTATGATTTTCTGTTAGCATTTGCATTACTCTATCCTGAGTTTAGTGTGTACTTGTACTTAAGATGTATGAAGAGCATTCATGTGCCAAATATTTTCAACATTGACTAAATCTTAAGCTTATATGTGTAGTATTAATTTCTGCCTCTTTTTGTTGGCAAAATGCATTAGTTTCTCCTGACTGATAGTAATTTTGTTCAGTTTCTACTTGGTTATATTGGGATGCACTTTCTTTTGGACAAATTCCAAATCATATGAATTAAAATAAGACATCCATTTGGTGCACTGTAGAGCAGTTCACCTTTGCTTTAGCTTAATTAGTTAACTTTGCCTGTCTCAATATATATTCTACATTGTGTCGTAAAGTGGAAATGCCTATGTTATTGTTAACTCTTTTCCTTAAAGTCATATTTGCTATTCTTACCATCTAATTATCACTTTCTGCTGATCAGAGATACTTCTGAGGATGTTGCTGCAGCCAGCTTTGCCAGTGACTGCCTTGCTGGTTGGTTTGTTGTGCTTGGATATTTTAATTCATTAATATCTCTTCCTCCTTTTTTTGTATGTTTTTGTGCTTTATATCAAATTGTCTGCCAATGCTTACATGAGTAAAATTTGTATGAGTTATAAGTGTTGGTTCTACAATAGAAACTCTGTGTCTGTTGGCTGATGCAAATGTTTAAACTGTTCAAATGCATATTCTGCATTAATGATTCTGCATCATTGGATCATGGCCTCTAGCTATCTCTGTTATCCCTTACTCTGTTCCACCTTTGTTAACTGAATGCTCTTCGGAATGATGGATGTTTACAGACCGATTTGTTTATAGGATTTAGCAGTCTGTTGTGTTTTATGGACATCAACAGGACCCCAGTCTTTTCATGATTTTAATGCATTGGGAACTTCCATGCTGCAGTTAATTGCATTTTTCCTTTTCACGGGCAAGATAGCAAATAGGAGGCATTAAGTTGGGGGCTGTGGAAATGAAGTATCAGTGGCTTAATAATGGAAGTCTGTCTATGTCTTCATGTTCTTTTTTCTCTCTGTAGCTCTGTTGTAACATTTGCTTGAACTTGGATCTGGGTTCTATTTTGTTAATACTTTGAGAACAGTTGATCCCTTGAATGGTGCGAATTATATCATGCTTAGAATATTAACCTTGTTGATAGATTTTGTTTGTTGGTCTTAACACTAACCTTATCATTGGAAAATAAGCATCGGTTATTGATGGTTATTTAAACCGAAGGGACATTCCATGCAGGGACCTGAAGATGGAGTTCTGCTGAGAAATATTCTGTATGATGCTGTTATTCTGGTGGAGTATTCGTTCCTCAAGTCAGAGACAGTTCACCTATCAGCAGAGCGTGTAAAAAGTATTTGCATGACAAGACTGATTGTCACGCTTGAAGCCATTGAGTTATTCAGGTACAAATAAATGTTATAGTTCATATGATAAAGCCTGCTTTGTATTTATCTCATCATTTGCTTTGTTGTAGAAAGAATGGGGATCAAAATAGAGCTACTCACTATACAAGTGCCTTTGCCAATTCCTGTTTACCTTCTCAAATAACCAAATGGATCTCATGCCTGATTGGCATGGATGAGAAAGCGAGAGGAATAAGTGGATCCTCACCTAAAGCTCTTATAAGTAAGTAGCTCCACTAGTCTCTTTCAGTACATAGAATAACGGTATCTTTTGAGTTTTGCATTGCTAACTGCCTTCTTTGTTGTTTCATTGCAATTAATCTAATTGTCCAGAGTGCCTACTGAACCTTGAGAAACAAGGGATAAAAGTATTTGATGATGGCATGAAATACCATGCCAAATTACATGTTGATGATTCCAAGGCAGTCTCCGAGCAATCAGCATCAAAGGTAGAGCAGAAGAAACTTGAGGATGATCCTCTTTTTTACCTTGATGCAAAAGGAGAAGCTGAAGATGAAGATGAAGAAAATGAAATGAAAAATGAATCTATGACAGCGGCATTTGTGGCTGCTGCCCATTCAATGAGGCTGGTAGATAGCTCCAGGGGAAAAAGGAAAGGAAGTGGGAGTGAAGGAAAGGAGAAGATCAAGTATTTTAAGTATGATCTTTCCAGCAACTCTAATTCAGCTAAAGAGAAGGTCTCAGGCTGGGCATCAGGCTCGGCCTCAGCCTCAGCTGCCACCGATGATGATTTGAGTAGTGAGAGTGAGGTTGAGAACCCTGTCATGTAGGATTTCAATTGGCACATGCCAATGCCATGATGATATTAATCATTTGACATGTGGCATCATAAATGGCAGGTTTTGATTGGTTAATGGACAGGTCGCTGTTTTTAAGGATGCCCCTTTCTTAAAAGGAACATATATCTAAGTACCACATCTTTTTTTTTTGTCTTGTTTAAGCAGTACCAAATTTATATATTTCATGATATAATTTAGAAAGCAATGGTGCGTTTAACCCAAAAAAGTAGAAAGAAATCCAAAAGAAATTTATGCTCAAGTTAATTTACAACGACTTATCAAATGTGTAACAAATTATTTATCAGACCAACCCAAACTTTTTTATATATAACTAAAAGCCTTTATCAAAGTCTTACTAGTATAATTTGTTTAAATGCCGGTGTGAATAGAAGTATAACATTTTATACATGTGATCACTAATCAGAAGAGAGGAAAAAGCATCATAATACATAAACAGATTCAACAGATTAAGCTAATTGCTTGGAATTTTTCTCCCCATGGCTTTGTTAAGATCAGTGTGATGAGCGCCTACAACAAATTCGGCAGAACTTGCTATTCGGGGATTATGCAGAGATAGCAAATTGTTTATTTGCATTTCGATTTTATTAAGAGTTCATTTAGGATTCTATCACATCTTCAATGGAATTCAAAATTTTTTTCCCCGATTGCGTGGGGAGGAGTATTTCAATAATACGATTCATTAAATCCTAAAATCGTTCACTATCTTAATGTAAAATTAAAAAGTGGTAACATTTTTTAATTATAATAGTTGATTGCTTTGTTTAGACAATCGAATGAATATCATTATTCAATACATTAACATTACTTTGCAGATTTAAAGATTAATTCGTATATTTGTATCATATAAAGTATTAAAATTTATATATTCGTATTATATTTTATATGATAATTCATATCAACAAGAAAATATGAAATATTTTTTTATTTTATTAAATTTATACATAATTATTATTAAAATTTTAAATTATATCATTTTCGTGTTCTTTTTTATATTATATTATTATATCGTGTTTTAAATTATCATATCTATTATTGTGATTGCATTCAAATAAATATTTCTACCACTAAATTTAATCTTAGTGTTATAATACTTAATTCAATGGCTAAATTTTCAATTTTAATGAAATTAATTTTGTTTAATCTAGCAAGGTAGGAGTTAGAATTTATTGTAGAAAACCTTTTACAAAGAAAAAAAATTAGACAATCCTAATTCCTTTACAAATCTGTTTCAATTGAATTAAAATCCTAAACCAAATGTCTTAGTTGAATAAGAATCAAAATACTAGTATACTAGTGCTTATCAATTTAAAAAAAAAAATAATTTCTCCGTGATACTGAATCAAAGAAAAACTGCACACGTGAGAGTTATAGTGTCCAAGTTTCTGTGGACGGTTAAACCTCTGCGTCATATATTTATTAGGGTTTGCCTTTGCAGATTTTTTTTTTCTTTAAAAGCTTTTCGATTCTGATATAAAGCTAAGCTGTCCAATATCTCTGCAATCTCCTTCTTCTTCATGGCGTCTTCTCCACCTTCAGCAAAGGAAGAGCAACGACCGACGGACAAGACACAGCAGTTAGAGAAAGATGACGTTTTCCACATACCCTATTATATGTGACAGAGAAACCCACTATAAGTTGCTTGACGATTTCAGTGTGTCTGGTGAAGAGTGCGATGATAGCGATTGGGAAGCACAAGCTGACCAAGGAAGAAGAAAAGTTATATCTGGATGCTGTTAAATCTACTGACGTAAAAACCCTTGTTTAGTTTTTGCATTTCCTTAATCTCTTTCACTCCAGTGTATGAAAATTTCATGCTAATCTATATATTTTTTTCATCTTTTCTATTTTGTGGGTTGTGATTGAAGGGTTTCGATGTTCCTCCATTTCCTTATGTTTCTTGCAGCGGTATGATTACACCCATGACCATGGACGACTACACCCTAGAATATCTCTTCCCTTTTTCTGTAGCAGCCATCAAAGTTTACAACGAGGAAAAAGTAAGATTGGCTTCTCTTCCTATCTTCGTGTTTTATTTTTGCATTAGTTTTGGGGTATTTTTTTAATCTCCTTCTATAAATGTTTTTAGGGGACCAAGTATGAGGTAGTGCAAGTGGAAAAGGCAATGCGGCAGGCTGCTTGTGGTCTCAACCACTACATAACTTTTCAGGCCAAAATTGGTACTGCTTATGGTTGTGATGATACTACAAAAACCTCTGAAGCATTGGTGTTAATGGGTACTCCAAAAAGGAAAGTAGATGACGCAACCGAAATCATCTTTTGTCGGGAGAAGGGTACCAAAAGAGGTATAATGATTTTCATTTGTTGTTATATATATATAGAATCATAAATTATGCATCAAGTTTCAATTTGTTTCGCTGGCTAATTAGGCATCTTCATACTTGTAAATGATGTGTCTGTTCTGTTTGATGCACAGAATTTAAGCAATTTTCAAACGCATGCTCTATTCTATGTTCATTTTTATTGCAGATATATATGTGTGTGTGTGTGTGTGTGTGTGTGTGTGTTTGTGTGTCATTCTATATTTCTGAGTACTTTGTTTTTCAGTCGTTAAAACAGGTGAGTTTGACTTCAATATATGTCCATATATGTCATTAATGTTATGTCTTTTGAATAAATAGAATTGGCGCAAGCTTTTCTTATAATTTTCTTCTTGTGCACTGCTTACTTCAGCTAATATTATGCATAATAGACTTGAAACATAAGTTTAGCTTTGTTTTATCAATGTTTTGGTGCTTTCCTCTTGATATTTAGTGTTGAAATATTTGCAGCAGAAGAGAAAGTCGAAAATGAAGATGAAGAAGATGATGATGAAGAAGAAGAAGCAGAAGAAGAAGTGGAAGGTAAGACTTTGGATGGATTTGTGGGCAAGTGAATAAAGTGATTTAATTATATTTGTGTTTTTTGGCGTGCATACTTGATGGAATTTTGCTCTTGTTCAAGAAGAATATTAAAACTATGTTGCTTTTGAATTGGAGTGTAGGTAAATTGAACCCGGCCCTTAGTATGTTTATGCTAGATGATCTCGTCTTAAACTATCTGTCAAATATTTCATTAGTTGTTTATTATATGTTTAGCTGGGGAAATATCTGTTAGTTATTGATAGCTCATAGAACGAATGTTTATGGCTTTATGCCATGCTCTTTTTCACTGCCTTCTTCTAACAAGCTTCAAATTCAATAATCTAATTACTTGATGGTCGTTGAGTGTAGATGAGGCCGACCAACCCCTGTATAATGGTAATTCAGGTTGATAACATCGTGATTTATGAAAGCTTTTGGATCATTTTGTTTGTCAACTTTTAGGTCTTACTTGGTCATCAACCAGCTCTCAACATTAATTGATTTCTTGCTTCTAAATATAGACCAAGTATTGTTGCACTTAGATACCACTGGGGGTTCAAACTTCAAACCTCTCAAAGCCTTTCCATATTCAGGTTGTGTGGCAAAATCTAATTGAAGGTGCTCAGTGCTAAGTGCTCACCGGTCACCACCACAACCAAAATTTGCATGCTACTGCTGCAAGCTGGCTGTGCAAGTTTTCAATTTACAACCCTTTCTATTTTTTTTCACGTAAACTTAATTAATTTCAAAACCAATGTAAGCAAAAATTTTCTTTCTCAAATCTTAACAATTGCGTAATATTCAATTGAATCTAGAGGCTAAAGGTTCTTTTCGAATTAACACAATTTAAACTTAAATTATTTTTATCTAGTACGCCAAAATCGCCTAAATAATATGTTCTAATGGCTTTTTGATACAGTCTATGCATTAGACATAACGGATTTTGTACATGAAGAACATATTAATAAGAAAACTTGTTAATTAATTAAAGAATTAGATTGTAACCTGTGTCATGCATGGAATAATTTCATTCATTTCATGTGTATTTACATATGCATATGAAATAAATGTTTATGGCTTGGTGGAAGGGGATTGAGGAAAGTTCTAAGCAAGGTCAGGATACTGTTTGAATTGTGAATTGTATGCTGTTGTAATGCTCATTTTATGGTGGATGTTGGTTAAATTATGGGTATTGGGAACATTATGTCCATACATGTACTCCCCATAAAAATGAACTTGACTTGGAAAAAAAAAAAGCTAACCCAAGTGAAAAATACCTAGTAATAATGCAAGGAAATGCTGTCCACGTTCAACATAGTTGGTTCGAAATTCGACTTTCCATGTGTTAGAGAGCCGTGATTTTCAAAGTAACCCTTTTCACAGCAATGCCATGTATGATTAGTCCATCTTTCAGTGCCCCTCTCAAGCTCAATACACTACTTCTATCCCTTTCTCCTAGTCAGTACGTAGCCCATTAAATATTCATCACGCAGTCCAACTTCCAGCAATTTTTCTATTAATATTTTTTTAAAACAAATATTTTACTATAAAATAATATTCATATCACATAGATGAGCATATAACTTACAATATTTATATTATAATTACTTAATCATAATTTAAAATTATATGGGGTTTAAAAAAAATTTATATAGAATCTTTATTTATAAGTGATGAATTTAAAAGTAATTATTTATTGTGATTAGATAATTGTAAAAGTATAATAAAAAATTTATAAGTGAAATGCATCCATTACATGTTTTCGCAATACTAAATTCTTCAATAAATAATATATATGTGTGTGAGAAAAATATAAGAAGCATATATTTACATATGTCAACAATGATATTTAAATTAAAAAGTATAATTAATGTATTGTTTTTTAATTGAAAAAGAACAATGTATTAATATGTTAATGGTGATATTTAAATTAAAAAGCATAATTAATGTATTGTTTTTTAATTGAAAGAGAACAATGTATTAAATTATAAATGATTCTTTAAAATGGGTAAGTTTAATTAAATAGGGTTTCTTTTAATTAATAAATAAATTATTGAATGATAACGAAACAATCCTATTTTGCAAATGTGGAATGAGCGATGGTTTTATCGATTGGTATTTTTATATAAATATATAAGCCACACAGCATGATGTGTATATGATCATTGCTTTTGAACAAACTGTAGATTCACAAACCAGAAGAATTAATTGGTAAAAAGACATATATATATATATATATATCATAATTTGCATAGTTTTTATATATTTATATTATTTAATAAAGATATTTAATTTAAATTGTATTAAAGTTAAGTATATTTATTTTTAATTAATTAAATTTATAAATAATTAAATTTGATTCATAATTAATTAATAGTAAATATGAATTTAAATTTAAACTTTTAAATGACACAAAAT